GTTCCTTCCTTTGACAAATGTGAATGTTGTGCTGCTCCTCCACAAGGCTGGCCACCGGGACTGTGACCAGAGACAGACATGGGCCCTGCTCTCGTGGATCCTACAGTCCACCGGGACAGTAGCCATTCATTCATTTAACTGAACAAATATTTATTTAGTGCCTCGTGTTTTCCAGCTACTGCCGTGCCTACCAACTAAAGACGTAAAGCTATAAAACCGTTCCTTGAGGAGGGAACTTTTAGTGGGAGCTTGCGTTGGCCAGGTAAAAATCCTGGATGGGAGTAGAGGTTGGCAGGGCAAGGAGACGGAGAGGGGTGGTTAATTATTGATTGCACGGTTACCTATAAAGTTCTCAACTGCGGTCGGTCGCATCTTAAGAATGAGAGCCTGCTCTTATCACTCGCCATTGCTGAAGCGCCCTGGTTGAGACACGCTGCTCCTTCATTGCGGCAGCCGTAGTCTCGCTTCTCACTTCCGGGTCTGTGACTGTTTTGAAATCTGCACCTGGCAGACCCAAAGGGGTTTTCAGTCTTGATGGGAAGTCAGGCTATGTGTGTGAGAGGATCATTAACAGCATGGGCTAAGTGTCAAATGAGTGGCATAGTTAAATATTACTGGATCAGAGAAGAGCACTGTCACTCACACGTGGGGCGATCATGGAAGGCCTTGGAGGTAGTGAGGCTTGACTGGAAGGACAAGAGAGACTCAAAATCCGAGAAGGAACCAGACATTTCCAGCAGAGACGAAGGAGAGAGCAGAGGCAGGCGAGTGGGAGTTCTGTGTGGTGATTGGGGAAGAGGCCCTGTTGCCCGTAGGCCCAGACGGAGCCTGCCGTTGGACTGGTTCTGGAGTACTGTGGTCAAAGGCAGAAGGGGCCCTGTGGGGGGGACCTTGAATATCAGGCAAAGGGACCTTAGCATCTGAGCATAGAGGTGGCATGGGGAGAACACTGCTTTACAACAAATCTGCCCACGAGTGGCTTCAGACCTACGAGGCACTGAGACGTGACAAGGCCTGGGTCAGTAACCCAGTCCTGTAGATGTTTACGGAGAGCCTCCTGCATGTCAGGGGGAAGGTGAGGAACGAGTAATATGTGGGAGAGCACTTGCTAACGACTTGTGCAAGACTGTGTTGGGGGTTGGGCAGAGAGAGAGGGAGCAGGAGGGAGACAGGAAGAGTCAGGGCTCCTCCCACCCTTGCACCCATTGGCTTTAGGGTTTGGCAAACAGTGGCCCATGGGCCAAACCCATCCAGATGCCTGTTTTTGTAGAATGGTTTTTATATATTTTTGAAAATTCTTTAAGTCAAAAGAATAATATTTCATAATACATGAAAATGATATGAAATTCAGATTCTACTGTCCGTAAAAAACGTTTTTGTGGAGCACAGCCTGGCTTGTCCATTTAGATGTTGTCTATGGCTACTTTCACATAACAGCAGCAGAGGTGAGGGGTCATAGTAGAGTCCGCATGGCCCACAAAGCCTAAAATATTCACCATTTGGCCCTTTATAGAAACCTTGTCCACTTCTGAGTCACACCCGCCCTTACCTCAGTGCCTCCGCTCTGAAACTAACTGTCCCTCTTCCCACCTGAGGTTTTTCCCTCCACCAGACTTTTAAATATCCTTCTGTTCTTTATATTCCTCTCAGACCCTGAGCTCCTCTTTTTTTCCAGGACCTCTCGCGTTCCAAATATGCTCAGGACCTGCCCTACTTCACAAACAGATCTTCAACTCAGAAGTCTGCTCTGGCTCCTGCTGTCCATCTCTCATCTCTGCCTCCACTTGACCCTGGGCTTCGGGCCCCAGCAGTTCATTAAAACTTAGCCTTGTTAAGTCATTAGTGATTCCTAGCTGCTGGGTGTAGGAGTTTCCTCAGACCTATCTTGTTTTCTCAGACATTTCAGGTTTTGATCCTTCTTCCTTGAGAGCCTTTATCTTTTCTTTTCTTCTTTAAAAAAAATTTTTTTTTCTTAAAGGTTTATTGAGAGAGAGCGAGCGAGCGAGCGAGCAAGAGAGGAAGGGGCAGAGAGAGAGGGAAGCACAGACTCTGAAGCAGGCTCCAGACTCTGAGCTGTCAGCACAGAGCCTGTCATGGGGCTCGAACCCACAAACGATGATATGGTGACCTGAGCTGAAGTCGGACACTTAACCAACTGAGCCACCCAGGTGTTCCTCTTTATTTTTTTTTCCCCTAAGTTTTCTTTTTTAATTTTTTAGAGAGAGAGAGAGAGCATGAGCAGGGCAGAGAAGCAGAGGGAGAGAGAGAGGGAGAGTGAGAATCTCAAGCAGGTTCCACACTCAGCACGGAGCCCCACGCAGGGTTTAATCCTGACCCTGTGATCATGACCTGAGCGGAACTCAAGAGTTGGACACTCAACCATCTGAGCCACCTGGTCGCCCCCTTGAGATCCTTTCTCTCTTGCCTTCTGTGCCGTCATCCTCTTTTGCATCTTCCTGCTTCCCCAGCCCCTTCCCCTACTCGCCTGTCAGTGGCTTCACTTCTTTTACGAGCACCTTAAACATTGGTGACTTTCTGAGCTCTGGCCTGAGTCCTCTTACAAGAGCTACTATTGTATGCCTGCTCTCTTCCAGGCACTGTGTTCAAATGCGTTACCCAAATTATTCCTGATCCTTACAGCAATCCTAAAAAGATAGGTTTTATTTCTCCATATTATAAATAAGGAAAGTGAGGCTTAGTGTACTTAAGTAATTTCCCCAAGGTTACACAGTGGCAGAACCACACTTGAACCAGAGCCTGCTCTGGTATACGGGTAAAGTCAGCTTCGTGTACCGGGGACTCCTGCCACAGGCTTTCCTTTGTTTCTGGCCTGTATGTCTGTCTACTAGACATTTCTACCTGGAAGCCCTGGTAGCACCTCATAGTCAACTCATCCTCTCTCCATCCCCCATCCAGCCCCAGCTTGGTGGTGTGACCATCTGGTTAGTCACCCAGGCCATAGTCTTGCCTGAGGCTCTGTCTCCCTAACCCCTTCCGCTCCCCACTTGCCTCTGCGGCCAGTCATTCCTCCTGCTTTAATTTCTCTGAAATTCAGCTCTCACACTGTCCGCTCTCCCTTGCCTGTTCAGGTGCTTCTCGTCTCCCTCCTGGACTGTTGTCCCCCTTGTGTGAGTCTCCACCCCGTCTTCTGTTCTCTTACCCCTCCAGTCCATCCTCCCCTAGGCTACCAGAAGCATCTCTCCTAAACTCCAGATCTCATTTATTGTTCTCTTGGTTGCAACCCGTTGGTGAGTCCCCATTGTCCTGTTCCTCTACTCCACAGTTTGACTAAGGAGGCCTCACCTTATTTTTCTAGATCTTTCGCCATCCAGCCTCATACTGCAGGTGTGTTGTGGTTCACTGTACCAGCACACCTGTTAAGGTGTCACCTCTTTCTGGAACGCCCTTCTCTCTTCCTGGTTTATCTGAGGAACACATTTTCATTGTCTCCCTAAAACAAACAGGCAAATGACAAACACTTCAGTTCGGAGAGGGCACCTCAGCTTCTGAGCCTTGACTATTTCTCCAGTCTTCCCCGAGGGGTTAGGTTTCCCCTTGTTGTATTCCCCAGGCAGTCTGGGCATGTACCTGTAGTCAGGCTCAGCACAGTGGGTCGTAATTGTTGTGCACGACTACCCCCTTAAAATCGACACTGCTTCAAAGCAGAAGTTTTTGTCTTGTTCACTTGTTTGCCTGTGGCATCTAGCTTATTGCCTGGGACCTGGTAGTTCAGCAGCTGTGGAGTGAATACTAGCAGTGTTGTTGGAGATGTGGGCTGAGGCTCTGGAGAAGGGCCGGAGTCAGTGGATGAAGATGTTCCACGAAAGCCGAAGAGTAGACAATACTAGCACCCCGGTGTGTGTAGCATCAGATCATTTACATTTACAATGTATCTTTCACTAATGTTTGGTCTCATTTTGTTCCTCGCGGAAGCACTGTGAGACAGGCAAGGCAGGCATTAATCCTCACATTTGAGAAGTGGAGAACTGAGGCTCAGAGTAGCGAAATGACTTGCCAAAGGTCTTGTACAAAAGTGCCAGAAATTGCTTCTCCTCCAGCCACGTCTCATGCTGCTTCCCCTGCACTGGGGCAGGGACGGGAGGGAGGGTCTGGGAGATGAGAGATAAGTGCCAGAATAAACCTGCCTATCAAGGTGAAAGGAAAGGAGTGGCTCCGAGAAGATAAAGGAGCCCCAAGGCATTGCTGTGTTGTGGAGGATAGTTTTTAGGAGGGGAGGGCATCATTGATGAGATAGTTTTGCGAACAAATGAAGGAAAATGGAAAAGGATGGAAGGGTTTGGCCACCAGGAAGTACAAGAGAATGTCCTGCAGTGAAACCAGCTTGCCAAGTTGCCAAGCCTTTAAAAGGAATATGTGGGCTTCGAGGGAGAGGGAGGCGCACACCCTTTCTAGAAGCTTAGTGGTGAAAGTGAAACTGAGAGACTGGCATTTTGAGAAATGTCATGCCAGCAGATACTCCAAGAAACTCATGGTACAGTATTTTCGTTTCATAGACTAGAAATCATGCCAGGGAAATAATGCTTGGTAACTGAGGATATCAATATCAGGATATTTCAGACTCAGTTTAACATTGGTCAGTTCCAGTCGGGGTGGGGCGCCGTAGGGCTGTGTGTTTAATCAGGCCTTAAGACAGAGCCAAAGTGGTGTTTCAGTATAGACAGTTGTAGCAGTAGAGGCCCACCTTTAGAGGCAAGATGTGTACTAGAGTCTCTTAGAGGCGAGATGTGTGCTAGAGTCTGGAAACCCCCTTCTCCTGTTCGTTTAGATTATTCATGTACCTACAAGTTCATCTCGTGCCCGTGACTTGTTATTTGTTGTTCAGAAGTGATCTGATCAGCGGGAAGATTTCCCTGCATTGTCGTTAGAGGTTGTTTTCTGTGTTGACAGTACAGACCTCTGTGTGTCATCCACATCTCCTGTGGGGGGCAGGCTCTGGGGGACGGCAGGGCCCTGTTGATGAGGTGTCCTTTGTGTGCCAGGTAAAGCGGTACCAGTGCACCTTCGAGGGCTGTCCCCGCACCTACAGCACAGCGGGCAACCTGCGCACCCACCAGAAGACTCACCGGGGAGAGTACACCTTTGTCTGTAATCAGGAGGGCTGCGGCAAGGCCTTCCTCACCTCCTACAGCCTCAGGATCCACGTGCGAGTGCACACGAAGGAGAAGCCATTTGAGTGCGACGTGCAGGGCTGTGAGAAGGCGTTCAACACGCTGTACAGGTCAGCCTCCTCTCTAGCCTCTGACTCTACCTTGTGAGGGTAGAGCCCTCTCCTTGCCCTGCGCAGATGTGCATGCACTTCCAGGGCTTGAGAGAGCACGGCTGCTCAACTGTTTAATCTCCACTCGGGGAGCTTGTTACTTAAAGATGGGCGTATATGGGGTTGGTTAAACGTGAGAGCACATTTGTGTTTAGATTTGTGTTTCCTGCAGTGACATATTGGCCTGGCGGTTTTAATACTTGGCCTGATATCTCCCCCGGGCTCAGGATCTTGGGACTAAGGCTTCTGTCATTTTCTTTCCTGCCTCACCTTGACGATAACTTTTTTTCTACGACTCACTAGCCAGTTCTCCTTCACACCGTTTGTGTCGGGAGACTTACATTAGTCCTCACCTTTGTGTCTAAAATAACAGACAGCGACAGCTACCATGTATGAAGCACTCACTGTGTGATCAGCACTGCTCCGAGGGCTAATCCTCACAGCAGCTGATAAGTAAGTGGGAGCACGGAGAGGTTTCATAACTGGTTCAAGGCCCCCATCTCATAGGAAGTGGGACGGGGATTTGAGTCCCAGGCGGTCCTGTTGCAGAGTCACCCTCCTACCCCTATATATACTTCTCTGAATTTCTCTTCACGCGAAACATTTTGGATCCAGAATTCTTCTGCACTGGATCCGGAAGCACATTCAGCTGACACGGGCCGGAGGCTGTGTAGCACATGATGCAAATGACCAAGGGAAGTTTTCTCTGGCGCATCTTGCAGGCTGAAAGCACATCAGAGGCTTCACACAGGGAAAACGTTTAACTGTGAATCTGAAGGCTGCAGCAAGTACTTCACCACACTCAGCGATCTGAGGAAGCACATTCGAACGCATACAGGAGAAAAGCCATTTCGGTAAGTCTTACCTGTGTTCTGTTGGTCACTGACCGGGTTTCAGCCGGGTGTCTCAGTGCTCCCTCACGTTTTTCAAAGCGGAAAGAGCACTCACCACCCTAGTTCTTTGGCAGTGTTGGCTCTCCCGGCACAGCTCCGAGCAGCTGCACACTGGAGGGGCAGCCATGGTTTCTGAGAGCACCCTTACTCCGGACTCACACAGTGGCCTTGCTGCTTTCCCTTTATTTTCAAGAAGCATTTGTTGAAAGTCCCTTATGGGGGAGGCACTTTTATCAGTGCTACAGAAATACTGAGACACACTCTCTTAAGAACTTAGTCTGGTGGGAAAGAACCACAAGTAAATGGGCAGCATACGAGACTGAGGTGCTCGGAGGACTTCGAGCATAGGGGAAGGGAGAGCTACCTAAAAATCGAGGTGGGGGGAGGACGTGGCAATGGGGGTGAGAATGCTTAGGCTAGTGGTGCAGGTGTTTTATTCTGTTACTTTAGTCGTTGCTTCGTAATATGTGTGTATCTACACAAACATAGAGGAGCATCCATTTTTGTCTGTATATTTCAGTCTCTGTATATTTGCGCACATATGTGTATTTAGCACATCCACGTGTAAATGTATAAGCTTGCAGTTAGGACTTCTATCATCTACTTTCTTCTCCGCTCATAGCACATAGCATGGTTCTGTAAATAAATAAAAGCAAGAGTATTTCTTTTAAAGACCATTTACTTACTTTGGGAGAGAGAACGCACGCAAACGGGAGGGGTAGAGAGAGAATCCCAGGCAGGCTCTGTGTTCAGAGCAGAGCCTGACACGGGGCTTGATCTCATGACTGAGAGATCACCACCTGAGTGGATATTAAGAGTCAGATGCTTAATCGACTGAGCCACCCAGGCGCCCCAAAGCAAGAGTATTTATTTATTTCGTTGTAAGTAAGCTGTATGCCCAACGTGGGGCTTGAGCTTATAACCCCAAGATTAAGAGTCACATGCTCTACCTATAGGCTCCCCTAAAAGCAAGAATATTTAGATTCTGGTTGGTTGCCCTCCAGATTCTGTGAAACTTGGATTGCTTTTTTCCCCCATAGTGTAGGACTCTGATTTCTATTCAGTTACGCACTTTTTTGTGATGGTTAAAACTGTTAATTTTTCTTGAATATTAGATGGGACCTTAGGCACAATGACTATATAGAATTAAAAACTAAAATGCTCCAGAGAAGCTTTCTTTTTAAAGAAATTAAATACTTTGGCTTACAAGAAAATGCATTCATTAATTCATATAAATAGTTATTATTGGGGCACCTGGGTGGCTCAGTTGGTTAAGCGTCCAACTCTTAGTTTCAGCTCAGGTCATGGTCTCACGGTTCACGAGATCGAGCCCCGCATGGGACTCCACTCTGATGGGGCGGGGCCTGCTTGGGATTCTCTCACCCTCCCTCCCTCTCTGCTCTTCCCCTGCTGTGCGCGCTCTCTCTCTCTCTCTCTCTCTCAAAATAAATAAACTTAAAAAAATAGTTATAATTGAATGCCTGCTATGTGCAAGAACTACAGCAGATGTACAGAACAACTTGGACCCTGCCCTCAAAGAGTTTATAATCTAAGAGAACAAATAGCAAATGGATACACATAGAGATAAAATAAGAATGGATGTGACAGATGCCATAAAAGAAGCACATAGATGAATCCCTCAGAAGTTCTCAGGAGGGGAAGGTTACTTCTAGCTTTGGTTATCAAGAAAGTAGGAGAGGAGGAAGTGGATCTTGACACTAAAAATTATAAATAAGTCATTACAGCCATTATACCTTATATATTATACAGTCAGTGTAGCTGGGACTGATTTGTTTTGGTGTTATAGTGTAGGCTTCATGCCTTTGTGAAAGCCTCTGTACCCACTATTGCTATTCCTAGTATTCCGCTGGCAGTAGATTCTTCACATTGGCTCTGACCGTCAATAGAATCCTGTTAAGCAATTCATCGAAAGGCTTTTAGTTTCAGAGCTCTCAACAGGTGACTTGTAGGAGAAGAAATATTTATCCTGGGCCATCGGTTCCCTCTGTTCTCAGATTTGTCACCTTTTCCAGTGACCTGTCTTCATTCCCATCTCTAAAACCAATTTCCTCTATCAGATCTCAGTGTTCCGAACGTTTGCTTTAGGTTGAGCTTGTATTTATAAGAGATGTTGGAAGATCAAGGCCTGTTTACCTAATGACTGCTGTTTCTCTTTGCTTAAACAACTTACCTAGGTGCGATCATGACGGCTGTGGGAAAGCATTTGCAGCAAGCCACCACCTTAAAACCCATGTCCGCACGCATACTGGTGAGTGGAAACTAATTTTTACTTTTTATTTGAATTTTCATCAGAGCAGTAAATATCTGTGTTTCTGTCAAGACCTGTAGAGCTTCGTGGAGAGAGCAAGCCTAATCAGCTTAGCCTTCACGTATAATGTTTGAGTTTCTTTCAGAAGTAAAAGAACCTAAGGTTGGACACAGGAAGAAATCCAGTCTTAAGAAATGAAACCAGTAAAGAGATTCTCAAAAAAAGAATCTGGGGGAAAAAAAACAAATCTTCTCTTTAAACTTGCCAAGAGAAGGCCATTTTTGCTCTACGTTAAGTTTTAGGGTTGAGATGGTTAACATGTAATCTGTCCAAATTGCCATGACTGTTTCCTGAACCCTCAGGACAATATTTACTTCCCTCTGTTAGGGAAAAGTAGATGTCTCAGTCCAGTGAAATGACTTTACGGTAATATTAACACTACTTGTCATTCTTGCAGGTGAAAGACCCTTTTTCTGCCCCAGTAATGGCTGTGAGAAAACATTCAGCACTCAATACAGTCTCAAAAGTCACATGAAAGGTCACGATAACAAAGGACACTCATACAATGCACTTCCAAATCACAATGGATCAGAGGTGCGCAGTATTTTGTCTCTTGTTTCGATCTAGGCAACACAGAACAGCAGTGATTGTCTGTATATCAAAGTAAAAGGTCAAGATGTCTTCTCTACATATCTGTCAGTGAGAGGGAAGAAATCAGGGCCAAGATCTGTGTCTTTGTGTTGGGGTGCTGTCAGCCCGGAATTTCACCAGGTGCCCTGGGCCTCAGCTTTTGACTCAGCTCTGCCTCCTTCCCACCAGCTTTGGTCCAAGAGGAAACCAGAGGTCTCGGAATGGCTTCCAGAGGGTCAGCCAGATGCTCTAAAAGGGTGTTCTTTTCTCATTCGTGTCTGGGAAATGACACATCTGTACTTAAATTGGAGACACAAATTAACGCTTTGCCTCACACACCTATTGAATCTGTCCTTGGAGAACTAGGCAGAACCTGGATGGTGTTTTGCCCTTTTGAATCATCTGTGGGCCAGAAGGTTTGAAAGCCACCAGCGGCGGGTGCTGAGCCACAGAGTTTTAGACAGTTTGTCCCTTCTTTGTCATGCCCCTTCACCATATTTCCCTCTCTTCTGTAGCTCTATTGCAGAGGGATCCTGGGGGAAACTTACCATTTTTACTTCTAATGTGCTATGGGACACTTATAGATGTCTTTTAAATCCAGAGAGTGAGCGTTATTATTATCTTACTATTTCATAGAGAGACTGAAGTACACCGACCCCCTTTTGAATAATGAGGTTTTTACTTAAAGCAGGTAATACAATTTTGATTTGGGGGGAGACAGCATACTTTAAGTCTGTGGTTTCCAATTTTTAAACAGCAAAGGATCCCTTCACATGGACGCTGTCCCTTTATTTTATTAGTAATAATAACTAACATTTACTGAGTGTTTACCATGTGCCAAATACCATGTGCTAAGTGTTTTCATATGGATTATCTCACAAGAGCTCTGTGAGCTCAATACTGTTATTATCCCCACATTACCGATAAGGAAGCTTGAAGCAAGGAGAAATAAAATAATGAACTTGAAATTATAAGCCAGGCAGTCTGATTCCAGAGCCTGGTTTTTGACCCCTCTGTTGTAAGAGGCAAAATAACGTTAGTCGTGAAGGCTGCAGTCTCTGGAGCTCAGCTGCCTGAATTCAGATCCAGGCTCCACTGTTGATCCAGATGGATACCCGTAGGCAAGTGGCATCTTTGTGCCTCAGTTTCTTCATCTGTAAAACCAGATAAAAATATTAAAATCTGAGAGTCTTTGTCTGTGAAGCTGCACACATTAAGTTGTGATCAGTCTTCTCATTTGTGTGACAACCCAAGGACACTTGAATTGGTGACAGCGCCTAAGTACTAGGGCATCCCGGTGGACGGTGCTCAGGTCTCATCTTCTCTAGATCACAGCTCACTCCCCAGTGGAGGGACGCTCCTCTCGTCTCAGGCTTTTAATGCCATCTAGATTGCCTTTGAGTCCTAAATATAGATCTCCAGCCTGGATCTCTTCCTGAGCTCTAGACTTGTACAGACCATCCCCACTTAGGATGACTTGCCTCTACATGCAGAAAAGCAATATGCATTCAGTAGAAACCATTCTTTGAATTTTGATTGGGTCTTTTCCCAATCTTAACTGTGGGCCATATCATCCTCTCTTGTCATGCTGGGCAATGGGAGTAAGCCGCAAGCCCTCATCAGCCCTGTGATCACGAGGGCAAACAACTGATAGACTTACAACTATTCCAGACCCATACAGCCGGTCTGGTTTTTTTTCCCTTTCGATATAGTATTCAATCAATTACACGAGCTGGTCAGCACTTTATTATGAAATCTGCTTTCTGTTAGATCATTTTGCCCAACTGTAGGCTAACGTAAGTGTTCCGAGCGCATTTCAGGTAGGCTAGGCCAAACTGTGATGTTTTGGGAGGTTAGGTGTTCGATGCATTTTCGACTGTCAGAACATAGCTGCACCATTAGTTGAGGAAGATCTGTATATTCAGCATTCCTCTTCAATCCAGATCTCATCCCAGATTTCATTCATCTTCTCAACTCTGGCATGTCCAAACCTGCTCCTTCTGCCATCTTCCCTACCTTAGTAAATGGCACCTCTGGGTTTTTTGGGTTTTTTTAGTGGCACAGGGGAAAAATCTTGGAGTCGTTCTTGATACCTCTTTTTTTTTCCCCCTCATACCCCACATCTACCAGCAGTCTGTCAACTCTCCCATGAGAATATATGTAGAATCTGGTCACTTCTTTTTTTTTTTAATGTTTTTATTTATTTCTGAGAGAGAGAAAGAGACAGCGTGAGCAGGGGAGGGTCAGAGAGAGAGGGAGACACAGAATCTGAAACAGGCTCCAGGCTCTGAGCTGCCTGTCAGCACACAGCCCGATGCGGGGCTCGAACCCACGAACTGTGAGATCATGACCTGAGCCGAAGTCAAACGCTTAACTGACTGAGCCACCCAGGCGCCCCTCCAGTAGCTTCTTGTATCACTTACAGCAAAAGTCACAATCTTTACAGTGGCCCACAGGGCCTTAGATACTCCAGTCTCTGGTCCCTTCTCTGGCCTGATGTACGTCTCTTCCTCTCACTGTAGCCATGCTGTCCTCTTCGTGGTAGCTTAAACAAGGGAAGCCCATTCCTGCCTCTGGGCCTTTGTACTTGCTATACCCTCTGCTTGAAACACTTTCCCCAGATATGTGCATAGCCCACAAATCTCTTAACTTCTCAAAAGCCAGTATCTTCTCATGCCAGTTTATCCAAGAGGCCTCCCTGATCTAATAAAATGGCAGCTCCAACCCCAGCATTCTCTATTCCCTTTACCCTCCATAGCACTCAGCATCATCTTGTATTCTATACATTGCCTTGCTTTTTTTTTTTTTTTTTGGTCACTCTCCACCCCTCCTGCCGTCACTAGAATATAAGCTCTATGGTGGCTTTTTTTCATTATTGTATCCCTGAGCCCAGGACAGTGCCCAATACCTAATAGATGCTCAGAGAATATGAATGGGAACACCTGATCCGTGAGGTAAGCAGGGTTACTGCTTAAATTGTGTGAACTGCAGCTGGCGTTCTAGGAACCCAGAGTTCAGAGTTAGCCTAGGCTGCCATATTTGAAAAGTGAATTCTCAGTACTGCCCTGAGTAAGGATCCTGAGATACTGGGGACACTGTACAGTGGAAGACGGACTTCCCGTCAGAAGCACTGGGTTTGTGTTCTGCTAATTAGCTGTGTGATTCTGGACAGTTCATGGCCAGTCTTAGCATTAATTTTCTCATATTCAAAATAGTAATGTAAAATAATACTTCACAGGTTTATATGAATAGCAGATGAGGGCATGTGAAATTGCTTTGTAAATGATAAGGCCAGTTATACAAATACTGATCACAGCTTTTGTTAACTCTGGAGCTTGAGTCATGAGATAATTCTTAAACTCTTTATTAATCATCTTTAAGAAATAGAATAGGTTCTTCTAAGAATATCAGGATTTAAACAGTTGAAATAATTCACATAGCTCTTGCTTCGGATGGTTTGTATCTCTCCAGATAACAAATCTAGACATTTGGAACCGCAGGGACATTGGGATCAAGTGTTTTATTACATGCTATGCTACTATAAATCCTGATTTTTCTTTTCTTTTTTTGTTACTCAATTAGAATGTTTTCTCTTTCACAGGATACAAATCACTCACTTTGTCTGAGTGACTTGAGCCTACTATCCACAGATTCTGAACTGCGAGAAAATTCTACTACAGTAAGTGTACCTGTGCTATGGGTGTGAGAAAAATAAGTGCAAGAATTAAGCACTCCCTGAGGGAGGCCAGGCTTTGAAGTCTTCAGGTTTAGTTGTGTTCAATTACTGACCACTTAAGGCTCCTTTGCCTTTGGTTTTATTTCCTGATACAGCCCCCATGGGAAGGGTGGTTCTCTCTGATGCCTAATGCCTTTTGACCCTTGTCACTCAATTGAGAACCTCTGGCCTGAGAAAATTTCTTTCTTTTATTCATTTAGCAAATATCTGTTGAGTGCCTCCTCCATCAGGCAGTGTCCTGGTGCCGAGCTTGTAGTGGTAAGAAAGTAGGTGTGGTCTGTCCTCAAGGAGCTTAAAATTAGTTACTGGAAGAGGGAGCCAGAATTCCAGTTTCTAGACTTTCTCAAGCCCTGCTGGTCTGACCTGAGTCCATCTCTTACTCTCTTTGAGCTCACTGCATTGGGGTCCTGAAGGGGACTATGTCTAGAATCCCTCTTCTAAATCTCATCACTTCAGTTCACTTTGTTTGGCATTTCCCTGCCATTCCTGTGGCTCTGTGATGTCCCTTGCAGGCCACTGCATTAAGCCTGAGCTGATGCTCCTTCGGGAGGATCTGTGCTTTACTGTGTCACCAGCACTGGCTGTTACGTGTGCATTGTTTGTTGTTTTCTTGCGGTAAATAAGCAGTACTCAAGTTAGATTTTCTGTTGAGTATATGCAAAATAAGAAGGGAATCAGTGTGATAGGAAGTATTTGAACAGAGACTGGAAGACCCAGGAATGCCATGAAATGTGTGCTGTTTCTCACTGTGTGATCAGTGGAGTCATCTGCAGTGCTTGTGACAACGTAGTGCCTTGGGCCTCACCCCGAGCCTATTTCATCAGTTTCTCCGGGAATGGTACCTGACACTGCATTTTTATATAAGCACCCTGAGGCTTGGGTTCTTCTGGTAATGGCAGAGCTGCCATTACCTTCCCATAGAAAACAAATATATATGCTGGGCTGATTATCAAAAACAACTACTTGAAGGCACCAAAAAGCATCCCAAGCAGGCAAAGGTAACGCTTGGAAGAAGGAGCCACTTGCACAAGTAGCAAAGGCACTGGGTAGGTTTTTAAGGTGTGCAACTTATCAGCCTCAGGACAAGACCCAGGTGAGACCAAACGAAAGGGCTAAAACTCAGTAAACATTCAGTCTCGCTGTCTTGACTCACCAGAGGACAGAGTTCGGAGCTCCCACAGCAGCAATTGGAAGGTGAAGGGGGACGACCTGGAAAGGAAAGAGCCACAAAGTGGGAGCCCCAAACACCATGTATAAACTAGTTGACCCCTGAACTGTAAATGTGTGAGACAGACCCTAGGCAATCTGGCGAAGGCTGGGTGCAGATTGCAGCTGCTGTCCCGTGCAGGAAAGACAGAGTTTGCATTTCGAGCACAGCCAAATCAACAGAATATTCAAGAAAACAAACATACTCTTCCAGAAAGTGTAACAGAATCCAGAGTCTCTACAACATATCCTTTGCATTGTCCAGGGTAATCCAAAATGAGTGAACATAAGAAGGAAAAGAAAACATTACCCCCACGTAAGGGAAAAGGTACTCTGTGGAGACCAACCCCAAAGTGGGACCGATGTTAGAATTAGTAGACAAGGATTTTTTTTTTCTTAATGTTTTTTATTTATTTCTGAGAGAGACAGCAGGGGCAAGGGAGGGCCAGAGAGAGAGGCAGACACAGATTCCGAAACAGGCTCTAGGCTCTGAGCTAGCTGTCAGCACAGAGCCTGATGCGGGGCTCGAACCCATGAACCATGAAATCATGACCTGAGCTGAAGTCGGCCGCTTAACCAACTGAGCCACCCAGGCGCCCCAAGGATTTTTTTTTTTTTTTTAAGTTTGTTTATTTAAGCAATCTCTACACCCAAGTGGGACGTAAACTCATGACGCCAAGATCAGGAGCCTCATATTCTACCAACTGAGTCAGCCAAGCGCTCCACTATACAAGAATTTTTAAGTAGCTCCTGTATGGTCAAGGATGTAAAGGAACATGCTTGTAATAATTGAATGAAAAGGAAGTCTCAGCAGAGAAATAGAAACTTTCAAAACGTCCCAAAGGGAAATTCTGGAACTGAAAATGTATCTGGAATAAAAAATGTATGGTTGGGCTTAATAGATTAGAAATGACAGAAGAATCAGTTAAATTGAAGATGGATCAAGAGAAATTAACCAATCGGAAGAACAAAGAAAAGCATTAAATAAGTACTTCCTAAGATTTTTATGCATATTCACATTTCAGAGCTAATATACTAAATGAAAGTTCTATACTGGATGGCCTTGAAGCCCTCTGAGTTATGGAACCTACGATTCTTGGATATAATCTTTCTTTAATCTCCGAGCTTGTATTAAATGGTTTGGGAGTCCGCTCCCTAGCCAGGACCATGACAAATGATTAACGAGCTTTCTGGAGCCCTGGAGTTATCAGGTGAGGTATCCTGGTTTGAGGGAACATTAAGTACCTGTAAAAAAAAAAAAAAAAAAAAAAAAAAAAAAAGGTGGGGCCGGAGCCTTTTCTACCACAGTTTACATCAGCAAGAGAGGGATCCTGTCTCTGGGTGTCAAGTTACATAATGGTGCCTTCATCACCCACCATTTATCCCAGAATTAGAGATATTCTCATGTTTAGTCTTTTAAGGCTGCAATTCCTTGAAGGAATAGAATTAATTTTGGTTTGTTTTGCTTTAAAAAAATTGTGCATTTTTAATATCAAATGATACATTTGGACGAAATCATCCTTTTATGGGTTTCTGGGCAGCCACATGCGTATGTGCATCCTGGAAGTGAGCTTTGATTTGCTCCGATCTTTTGGTACAGGAGGGGTGAAGCCGCTAGGAAATGGCCCTCTGGGCCTCTTGGTGCTTGAGCTTCAGGACCCATCCTGGTCCCAGACAGCTCTCAGTCTCCTTTGTCTCTGCGCCAGGCCCCAGAGGCTTAGCCTGTTCTGGTCGCCTCTACTTTGGGGAGCTGCTCAAACGTACTCTGCCCCCAGAGTTTGTGCCCTGAAGCCTGGCAGTGGCTCAGTCATGATCCTTCCAGCACTTTCCTTGTTTGTGTTTGTTTGTTTTGTTTTTAATTTAAAAGATTTGTTATTGAAGTATAATGTGCATAAGAAAAGTATATCTAATCACAAATGTACAGCTTAATGAATGATCACAATTCATCGCATCTATGTAACCAGCATGCAAATCAAGAAACAGAACATTCCCAGTTTCCCGGAAACTGTCCCGGAAACCCCACCCTCTGTGCCTGCTAACAGCTATGACCTCTCCCTAAAGATAACCACTGTCCCAGCCTCTAACACCTGGCATGAATTTTGCCCCTGGTTGTGCTGTGTATAATTGGGATCGTGCCCGTCATGCTGGCTTGTGCCGGCTTCCTTCTTACAACATTATGTTGAAGAAACACGTCCATCTTGTTACATGGTAGCAGATCACGTTCCCGCTGGGGAACAGTATTACCCTAAGTGAATGTGCCACAAATGGTTTTTTCGACTTCCCTTGGTATTGGGTAGCTTTCGAGTTTGGAGGTATCACGTAACAGTGTTACTGCTGATAACTTGAAAACAGGTAAAACCAAACAACCACCGTCAGGAAGTTGCAGCACTTACAGCAGTTGTCAGTCCACCGCTTTTCAAACTGAGTTACGCCTCTTTATTGGGTTATAAAATAGGGGTTTAGAGTCAGCATTTTAAGGGCATCAACACAATAGACAGTATCAGAGGACATGGCACGTAGGAAGGCTAAGCCTTGTTTTGTAGTCTTCTGTTTCAGTTATACGTATGGACAGGTGTGTAACGTGAAGGGTGTACGTGCGCATATGTATATATATGTATAATGTATTTTCTACTTTGCATCATGGCATTATAATATAGAGTTTGAAGGCCGCTGTCTTGGCCCGTGATTCTTTTTGTTGTTGTTTCCAAACTTTAAATTTTAGTTAGTTAACATGTAGTGTAATACTGGTTTCAGGAGTAGAATTTAGTGATTCGTACATGTAACACCCAGTGCTTCTCCCAACAAGTGTGCTCTTTATTAGTGTTCATCACCCATTTAGGCCCTCCCCTGCCCACCTCCCTCCATCAACCCTCAATTTGTTCTCTGTCTTTAAGAATGTCTTATGGTTTGCTTCCCTCTCTCTCCTTTTTTTTTCCCATTTGTTCTTCTGTTTTGTTTTTTAAATCATATGGTATTTGTGTCTTGCTCTGACTTAATTTTGCTTAGCATAGCACACTGTAGCTCCATCCACATTGTTGCAAACGGCAAGATTTCATTCTTTTTGATGGCTGGATGATATTCTATTGTAGATATATAGATATATATAGATATATATTTACATCTATATAAATATATATTTTTTCTTTATATATATTATACACACACACACACACACACATATATACCACATCTTTTTTTTTTTTTTTTTTTAAAGGGAAAATGAGAGCAAGCATGAATGGGGGAGAGGGGCAAAGAGTGAGAAAGAGAAAATCCCAAGTAGGCGCCATGCTCAGCATGGAGCCCAGCACGGGGCATGATCCCACGACCCTGGGATCATGACCCTAAGCCAAAATCAAGAGTCAGATGCTCAACCGACTGAGCCACCCAGGCACCTCTATGCCACATCTTCTTTATCCATTCATCAGTTGGTGGATATTTGGGCTCTTCTCATAGATCAGCTATTGTTGATAGTACTGCTATAAATATATATCAGCGTGCATATACCCCTTCATCTCTGTATTTTTGTATCCTTGGGTAAACACCTAGTAGTGCAATTGCTGGGTCATAGGGTAGTTCTATTTTTAACTTTCTGAGGAACCTCTCTACTATTTTCCAACTGGCCCATGATTCTTAACTCTCTCTGGACTGGAAGCAGGAGGCTTTGTGTGGGTTTCTGCCTTCAAGCGTCTGTCATGTGAGCAATCAGAATTCCTCCTCTTCCAGTTGATGGAATCATGCTAGATTAATTGACCCCTCTTGGCTCAAATGGGCAGTTTCACCTCCGAGGACCTCTAGATTGCTGGACAGTTCCACTCACCACACGTGCCTGGGCCCAGGATGATCCTTCCCCCTCCCAGAAGCAGAGTTGTTGCAAAATGACCTTTAAACACAAGCTGGCACTGACGCAAAATATGGCCTGAAGATGGGTTTTGTTTGGTCTGTACAGTGCTTTGTTTTCTGTTACTTGCTTTTAACTATGAATCAGTGGACTTCACATAAAAATCCACATGTCAGACCATTTCGAGCACTGGAAATCCCCAGTGTGCATATCACAGGGCAGCATTGCTCTGAAGCCCTTTAGGTGACTGGGGTGCATGCTCTCCGGTTTGCCAAAGCCTCCCGTCCCCACTGCTTCACTTCTGTCACCTGCCCGCACTCCTGGAGGAGGTTGCCTCTGTCACTCCTGCCCGACAAAATGTGGGTGGAGGTGGACTGGAGGTGAAAGAATTGCTGCACCCCTAGAGTCCTTAACCAAAGAGACTGGGGGGGGGGGCCATTTTTATTTGGTTCCTGTCAGGAGTCAGACCCTCAGGGCATCTGTGTCCCTCCTCCCCATTTGATCTTTTCTAAAATGCCTCTCATGTTTTTGTCATTTTTAATTACAAAGAAACTTGTGATGACAAACAGTAGTGAGTGTAAGGCAATCACTGTTGCCTCTCAGGAAAGTTTCTTTCTATTGTTTGATTCATTACCATGCGTACATACTAGAATGTCATAGATGTTATGTAATGATCTTGAAGGATATTCAAATATGTTATTATCACATGAGAAGACCAGGTTGTGGGTAATGGATAGTATGCAATCCCATTTTTTTTTTTTTATGTTTTATTTATTTCTAGGAGAGAGAGAGAGAGAGACCGCGTGAGCAGGGGAGGGTCAGAGAGAGAGGGAGTCACAGACTGAAACAGGCTCCAGGCTCTGAGCCAGCAGTCAGCACAGAGCCCGACGCGGGGCTCGAACCCACGAACCGCGAGATCATGACCTAAGCGAAAGTCGGACGCTCAACCGACTAAGCCACCCAGGCGCCCCATGCAATCCCATTTTTAGGAAGGATTTGATCCTCTTTTAGAGCCGGGGCCCGGATACTTACTTACTTACTTACTTACTTTATTTATTTATTAATTAATGAAAGGGCCAGATAGTAAATATTTTTGGCTTTGCAGACCATAGTCTCTGACGTAGCTCAGCTCTGCCATCAGAGCATGAAAGCAGCATAGACAATAAATGAACAAGCATGCATCTGTTCCAGTAAAACTTTATTTGCAAAAACAGGCATTCAGCCTACAAGTCATAGTTTGCTGGCTCCTGTTTTTTGTTTTTTGTTTGTTTTTTAATTTAAAAATTTTTATTAATGTTTATTTTTCAGAGAGAGAGAGAGAGCGCGCGCGCATGAGAGCCGGGGAGGGGTAGAGAAAGAGGGAGACACAGAATCTGAAGCAGACTCCAGGCTCTGAGCTGTCAGCACAGAGCCTGACATGGGGCCTTAACTCACGAGCCATGAGGTCATGACCTGAGCTGAAGTTGGACGCTAAACTGACTGAGCCCTTGTTTGTTTTCTTTTTAATATGAGAGAGAGAGCTCATCCCCAAATGAGCTGGGGAGAGGGGTAGGCAGTAGGGGGTGGGGAGAGAGAGAGAATGAATCTTAAGCAAGGCTCCATGTTCAGTGTGGAGCCTGATGCAGGGCTCAATCCTATGACTCAGGGATCATGACCTGAGCCTAAATCAAGATTCAGATGCTCAACCGACTGAACAGCCCTGGTGCCCCACTGACTCCTGTTTTCGGGTATTTGAGGACCCAAATCTTTAGCGTCTGAGGTTTAGGGAAATCTTTGTCACCTTGGAAAGGAGAAGTTAGAAACAAGAAGCATATCAAAAAAGATCATTCTAATTCTGCTGCTGTGTGTGAAGAATTGCCTCAGGATGACAAGTCTCACATCTCTGTCTCTGTCCATCAATCACAGGGCCAAGACCTCAGCACAATTTCACCAGCAATCATCTTTGAATCCATGTTCCAGAATTCAGATGATCCAGCAATTCAGGAAGATCCTCAGCAGACAGGTTTGTTACACAGATGCTCTTCCTGCATAGCTCTGAGCAGTGGGTGAGGGAGTCCCCACTCGACGCACCAATGCAGGCACGGTGAAGTAGTAGTTCAGTTCCTTTGAAGGAAGTGTGCGTTTGGCGAGGGGTCAGGGAAGTGAGGGCCTCTTGTTCAGTCCCTCTTTTCCTCTCCTTCCCACAGCAAGAGTCTGTTTGAGGGCCTACTTTCCCTAGACCTTCACAAAAGGGCGTCTCCTTCTCTAAAAGCTCTTGTTGGCTTTCAGAAATGAGGGAAGCTGGGAGCTCTTTCTTTTTCTGATGCGATACTGTGCTCGTGAGTGGGCAGGATCCACAAACAGCATCAGAGGCATAGATCATCCTGTGTTTGCATGAAAATCTGTCCCTGAAGCTTCACGGTAGTCAGAAAGTGTGTTCACTGGTTATGCCAAAAAAAGGATGTCTAGTCTCTTCCAGAAAAGCCTCCGGATATACTTTTTTTAAATGATAAAATCTGTACTAGCTCTTCACATCTAGAAAGTGAGACTGATCACGAAGCCCGGTACTTTGAGCCAAGGGGTCATTAAATGAGAAGCAGAAAGCCGGCCTTCTAGGAATGAAGGTATTGGCTCTGACAGCCTTCAGCTGCCTTTGGTCTCGCCATAGTGACTGTGTTTTTGTGGCTCATGTAAGGCTTGGGATATGTATATATGTTTCTATTTCTTTTTCTTGCCAGCTGCCTTGATTGAAAGTTTTAATGGTGATGCAGAGTCAGTCAGTGATGTTCCGCCATCCACAGGAAATTCAGCATCTTTATCTCTTCCGCTTGTACTGCAGCCTGGCATCTCCGAGCCACCCCAGCCTCTACTACCAGCCTCAGCACCGTCTGCTCCTCCGCCTGCTCCCTCCCTAGGAACTGGTTCCCAGCAAGCTGCATTTGGCAACCCCTCTGCTCTCTTACAACCTCCAGAAGTGCCTGCTCCCCACAGCACACAGTTTGCTGCTAATCATCCAGAGTTTCTTCCGCACCCCCAGGCCCCACAGCCCATCGTTCCAGGACTTTCTGTTGTTGCCGGGGCTTCGGCGGCGGCATCAGCCGTGGCAGGACCGCCCCAACCACAAAGTACTACTGAGCCCCTGCCAGCCGTGGTCCAGACTCTGCCCCTGGGCACCAACTCTGTCCTGACTAATAACCCCACTATAACCATCACCCCGACTCCCAGCACGGCCATCCTGCAGTCCAGCCTAGTCATGGGAGAACAGAACTTACAATGGATATTAAATGGTGCCACCAGTTCACCGCAAACCCAAGAACAAATTGTAAGTATTCTGTCTCAAAGGATCCCCGGGGGTGAAGTGTATTTACACGGGTGACCTGTTCAGAGGCTTTTACTTCAAAAGGAAAATGGTTATCGTATCTGCCCTGAAACGTGTAATTCGGCCTCTTGTCATTTCCCCATCGTCGAGGGGTGTAAGCCAGGGAGTGCTGTGTGCACACCTCCAGGAGGGAAGCAGAGAAACCGCCTTTGCGTGCTGCCAGCTAGTAGCAGGCTCTTGAACAAATGTTCCATCTGCAGTGTGAGGCTACCCTCTAGGACAGGAGAGCAGTCAGCAGACTGCAGAGGCCCAAGAAAGATTTAGGAAAGCGGGTTCTTCTCCAAGGCAGAGTCAGACCGCTGTGAGGGAACGACGGGACCCCGTCTGGTAGAAACCACAGCAGCGGCCAAGTCAGGGAGAGAGAGTCTGTGCACCCAGGGCATGCTCGAGAGACAGTTTCTGCAAAAGTGTTTGGTCTCGATGATGAAGGAAATGACTTGGTCATTCAGTTAAATATATCTCGAGGGCCTGGTATTTACCAGATACCATGCATGCCACTCTTGGGGGGACAGAAAAGTGGAAACCATAATCTCTTTCTCATAAAAACTTATATTCTACTTAAAGGTGCTAAAATACCCCAAAGGAATGTAACATTGCTGGTAGGTAAAGCTCCAACTCGCAATGAAAATGGTACTGAGAGCTGTGGTTTATGGAACCCTTACCCTATGTAAGGGCATAGTGTGTTAACTGAGCACTTCTTGAAATTAAGGATCTAACACATGCCAGTCATTACCTTATGTAAATTGTTTTTAGATTACGTTTTTTTTTTTTTTTTTAAGATTTTATTGAACAGTTGGGACAGAATTTCCATACACACCCTGGCCACCCCCCAACTCCCCCCCCCCCCAACAGTTTGCCCTAATAGTAACATCTTGCGTTAGTCTGGTACATTTGTTAAAATTGATGAATCAGTATTTATATATTATTACTAATTAAAGTCCATAGTTCACATTAGGGCTCATAGTTTGTATGCAGCATTCTGTGGGTTTTGACAAATGCATGACATCATGTGTCTCCCATTATAATATTCAGAGAAGATTCAGCACTTAAAAATCCCTATGCTTCACTTAGTCATCCCTTCTCCCTCTCCTCCTCTCCCTAGCAACCATTGATCCTTTTTTAATTTTTTTAATGTTTATTCATTTTTTGAGAGACACAGAGAGAGCACACTCAGGGGAGGGGCAAAGAGAGAGGGAGACCAGAATCTGAAGCAGGCTTCAGGCTCTGAGTTGTCAGCACAGAGCCCAGTGCAGGGCTTGAACTCATGAACCACGACCTGAGCCAAAGTCGGACGCTTAACCGACTGAGCCACCCAGGGGCCCCAGCAACCACTGATGTTTTTATTGTCCCTAAATGTCGTATGTCTAAATGTCACCCACTGTGCTGAGCACTTTTTCATGTATTATGCATTTAATCACAACCATCCTAGGAGGTTAGGTATGATTTTACCGATGGAGAGCAGAGAAGTTAAGGGACTAGCTCAAGGTCACACCGTTCATAAGTGGCAAGCCGGGATTTGAGCACAAACAGATCGGTTCCAGAGCCTGTGCTCTGGACTGCTGCATTGTGTGGCCACAGGTGGAGCACAGAGTCAGGGCTTGTCGGGTAGACATACGGGTCAGGTGAGCTGTGAGGTATGAAGAGGAGATGGAGAAAAGGACGTGCTACGGAGGAGAATGTCTGGGTGGATGCAGGATGCTGCCAAACAAACTGGAAAGGTAGTTTCAGGCTAAACAGAGCGTTCAGATTCCATGAATCAGGTGCCAACCATCTCTGGAGGCAACCGAGTCCCACGTGCAGATAGCCAGAGCCATACCCAATCTGCTCCATGTGGTTTTTATCATTTTTTCTGGCTTTGCCCTGAGGAGCTGCATGGAGCAAGTGTCCTTCCTTTCCCGCAAGTTCATTTTCATGCATTTAAATATGGGTCTCATTTCTCCATTGCTGTTTTATAGTGTCGGCTCCTGTAGCTCAGCCGAAAGCTTTCACATTACTCCTAGACTCAGTCTAGAGCTCCCCCCCTCCCCCCCTCCCCCCTGCTTTTTTACCCTTAAAGGGATAAAAGACAAAGCCTTTTTGTGATAAGACTTGAAGAAAGCAGAAATCCTGCAGCCAGTGTAACAGGAAGTATTGCTAAGGTGGAAGGGTTGATCGTGGGCATGAACTTATAGTCGTCCTTGTAATAATGCAAATAACCCATGTTTGCCGAAGGCTCACCGCATACCTCAGGCTCTGCATGCATCATCTCGTTTCACCCTTGCAGGGGTCCTTTGGGGAGGATGGGGCCCTTTGGTCATCATCCCAGTTTTTACAGATGAAGAAACTGAGACTCTGAGACGTGAAGCCACTTGCCTGTCCTCAACAACTGAGAAGGGGTGGGGCCTGGACTTGCGTCCAGGACTATAGCACCCTGGTGGGGGGGGGGGGGGTGGCAGGTGGCCTTCACAGGGACTGATCTGCCTGTGAGAGGAAGTCTTAGCCAGTCCGTAGCATTCAGCTTGACCCTGGAGGAGACCAAAGAACTGTCCAGCCTCACAGAACTACTGGGGTATGGTGGGAGCAAGGGGCTTATAGGGAAGCTAGCCCTGGGAATCCCTGCGAAAAGACCACAGCTTGAGCAAAGCAACCTTGGGCCCTTTGGGCAGACAGAACCTACTGGATTGGGCAGCTGGGAGACAGCCAAATAGTAGGGAACAAAGCTGGCTGCGTTGTCAGCACTGAATGTCAAACAGTGCACTGACCTCATGTCAGAGCGCAAACAAAACCTCACTCAGTGCAAAAATCCTTGAACACTGAGGGTTTTCTGTCCTCTTGGATGACCGGTGTCATCGGGCAGGCTTCAGGTCCCTGGAGAGCTGCCATACTTGAGTGGCTGTAAATTTTTTTTTTTTTTTTTTTTCCAGCAGCAAGCATCTAAAGTTGAGAAGGTGTTTTTTACCACTGCAGTACCAGTAGCCAGTAGCACAGGTATGTAATTGTGTGTTAACTTTAAAGGAAAGTCAATTCTCTGGGCCCTTTGAGGCACAGTTCATTGTTGCTTTGCCCCAGTTTTTAAAACCTCAAATTTGTCAGAGTGTATTGTTTGTTAGAGTATTTCCCGTTCTCTCAGCTATTAGAAGTTAGCGGGCTTATGGCATAAATACAACATTTAACGTTCCTTAAGGGGTCACGGTTCTTTCCTCTCAGATAGAGCTTTTAAATGCAACCAGAAGAAAGTCTGACTCACAGTTAATGCCAAAGAGGGCAGCCCTTAATTCACTGGACTCTTTTCTAATTACAGTAATGAAGAAGTAGCATCTGGGTCAGAGACTCATACAGAGCAAAAAGGTCCTTTTTTTTTCCAGTCTATTTTATAGATTAAGAAATGGGGGCCCCAAAAGACTAAATGACCCCTCCACAGTCATAAGGGGGTTTGTGGCAGAGCCAAGGCACCAGTTCTCAGACCTCCTGACTCCCACTCTGTTCGCCTGCCCTTGGTCTTCAGCTTTTTTGAGACACACACAACCTGTCCGATATCAGAGTGTGCGCGTGCACGCGAGGCTGGCCGTGTACAGGGGGGCTCCCCCCACCTACTCTGTGTCCGAGTCTGGGGATGCAAGCACAAGCAAGGGGCCCTGCCAGAGCTCGATCTCAGGCAGGCAGGCCTCAAGCCCCAGGTCCCACACGGTGTGAACAGAGGTGCATAGGGAGGCCACAGCTCTGTCCACACGGACAGGAAGCTCGTGTCCCGGCCACCCTCAGGCCAGCCCTGGGCGGAGGTCTGCTGGACTCACAGCCTGGCAGCCTCAGGACAGGAGGGGATGTGCTGGGTCTTCAGAAACAGGAGTAAGTTCTCTGGAAAAACAGCCCCGTCTGGGGAGCTTAGGCAGCAGGAAGAGCCCACAGGCCCGGAGGTTTGAAGAACATGTGAGAAAAAGGGAGGCATCTGCTGTGGCTGGCATGGAGGGTCTAGAGGGGAATGGCCAGAAATAAGGCTGGAAATAACAGGGTCGCCTAGATGGTGTGTGTGGCTGAGAAGGGACTTTGCCTTGGAGGGGATGGGGAGCGTCAGGCAGGACAAAGCCTGGAGCACGGCCTCCTCCCTTCCTGCCATTCCTGCCTGCGTGGCACTCAGCGCTCACCTACGCTGTGTCCCCATCGGTCATGCCCCTGCCCTGCGGCTACTTGAGGAGCAGTCTCTCTCGCCTCTCTCGCAGGGAGCTCTGTACAGCAGATTGGCCTCAGCGTTCCTGTGATCATCATCAAACAAGAGGAGGCGTGTCAGTGTCAGTGCGCGTGCCGGGACTCTGCCAGGGAGCGGGCGGCGGCGGGCAGGAGGAAGGGCTGCTCTTCCCCATCCCCCACGGAGCCGAGCCCCCAGCCTCCTGACGGGCCCAGCCTGAAGCCACCGTCACAGACGTTCCCCTCAGCCCCCGGTCCCTTGTCGTCATCTTCCGCTGTACCCTCTTCCTGTGAGCAAGGCAGACGGGCAGAGACTCCTTCAGACCCTCAGACAGAAACGTTAAGTGCCATGGATGTGTCAGAGTTCTTGTCCCTCCAGAGCCTGGACACCCCATCCAACCTGATTCCCATTGAAGCACTACTGCAGGGGGAGGAGGAGATGGGCCTGACCAGCTTCTCCAAGTGAAAGGGCCGCGTGCGCTCACCTCTAGGAAAAGAGGGTGAGCGGGAAGCGGAAGGTGCGGTGCCTGCCATCGTGGGGGGGTCAGCAGTCCGAAGGATGAAGAAATCTACTGTTTGAAATCCTCACCTTTCAGACGTATTTTCTTTAGTCATATCCCAGGAGCATCCATTTTAAGAAACTGATCTTTGGAAAAAAACAAACAAAAAAACACACAAAAAAAAAACAAAACAAAAAAAAGCTAAGTTATAAATGAACTGTTTGGCTGCACTGTATGTCACTTTTGCTTATTGTCATGTGAACTTGGAAATTAAGGTTACTCGTATGCATAAACGTTCGAAATGAAAGGGTGTGGCTTCCATCGGTCTGAGGCTGCCCTCACTTGCACTGGGGTCCTTGTGGTTTGGGCAGTGGAGTTCAGTGTGTCGGGTTTCGCTCCTCGGGTGTCCTGTGCGTCTTTTGAATCTGAGGCCGAAGCTTGCAAGGAAGGCCGGGCATTCCTCCATCAGAGCGGAGAGTGGCAAAGGCAGGGTGGACAGCTGCGAGCTGGACAGGGATCGGGCGAGGTGGTCTGTTGTTTGATTTGGTGTCCGTGGAGCTCAGGGTGACTGGCCGGTGGCGCCCTGCAGCCAGCTACAGCACAATGGGTAGCGAAAGCCTGGCCCGAGGCTGTGGTCAGTGATCTGGGGTCTGCAGCGGCCCCGGGCGAGCTGTTGACCGCTGTCGGTCCCTGCCATTTGCCTAGCTGGCTCCAGCAACAGTGTCACAGTCTTCTGCCTTCCCGGTTCTTTCTGTCTGTCGGTTGGTTGCCGGGTCCTGCAGATCGCAGCGAACTTCTCTTGGGGAAAACATCCCTGTTTTGTCCTCGAGTGGACATGTGGCATATGGCCAGTTGCTGGTTGGTGGTCTGCGTTCCTTTAATGGCATTTTCTTCCTCAGAGCAGGAGAGCCGCATTTTGCTTATCAGGAGGAGGAAGTCACTGTTGGTGTGTTGTGAGGCGGCATGTGATTGGCAGGCCAGGTGTCCTGGGTGCAGGTTCTAGCCAGGCTTTTGGTTGCCCCTCCCATCTCCACCTCTCACCCTCTGGATTTTGCATACAGTCTAGTACAGTGCAAAGAAGGATGTGACTTGCTCAGCCTTGTCACGTGATTTCTAAACAAATACACAAAAGCAAACAAAAATCACAAAACGATGATCTTCTACTCAGGGTAAAACAAAACAAAACAAAAATCTCCCTTCCACCAAAAAGCCTGAAATGTTGCAATAAGTTATCTCATTTGGAATGTTTCATTAAGTTGTGTTATGGGGGGGGAATTTTTTTTTCATTTGTGTATAGAATTATATCCATCTGTCTGCCTTTGGCTCTAAGTCATTGCCTCTTAAAATAAAACCTAAAACACAATTCACACTAAAATGGAAAGTTTCTCTCAGCTGGCTATATTAATGTAGTCATGAGTGCTCACCAAGCTCACCGAGCTCAGAAATGAGGCCTGGCCCAGGGTCTGGACCAGGCTTCGGCCTCCAAGAGCCCCTTCCCTGCCTTGAGCAAGGAACAGGGCCCACAAGCAGGGCTGCTCTTCCGAGTCGACAGTGTCAGGCAGAGAGCAGCCGTCGTTTTGCCTTCCTTCACCATTACCTGATGTAAAGAGACCTGCCTGTGTCACTCTTCTGTCCTCTGAGCTATTTATTACTCGGGCCAGCCAAGACAGCAGCCAGAGCTGCTCATTTATCTGGGAGCCAGAGGCCGTGCCCGGCCTTTGACAGAATTTCAGGGACAGAGTTGGACAAGAGGGCAGAGGTAGTCCGCGTTGTTACTGCCCCGAGGAGAAAAGGGCTTTACCCGCAGGCAGCTGGTGGCTTCTCATTCTAGGAGTCTAGGCAGGAGAATCCATTTCTTTTTGACCTTCTGCACTCCTGTCCCCAGAAGGCTGGTGGGTTCTGGTAACCACTGACCTCAGCAGAAGTTGGTAAGGCAGGAAGCAGCTTCCATTTACCACCATGGGTTAATCTTCCTGGAAAACCAGTTGCTGAGCGTGGCTTGTCCTCGGCTGTCTCTGGGTCTCACACCCATAGGAAGCTTTGAGGCTGGAGCCACGCTGTTTTCTCTACAGCTTTGGACAGAATGACACAATGGGGTTCCAAAGGGAGCTCATATCGGAGGGCATGAATGACCTTCCCACATACCCATCCGAGGGGCACCTGGGATGCAGTTCCCTGGGAGCTGAGGTGGGAAACAGGAACCCAGAGGAGGCCATTGGAGGTGTCTGTGGTTTCGTTACTGCTTCTTTCTAGATAATCAGGGCTGTGCTCCTGTTGGGCCTGCCTAGGTCAGTGGCTTTCCTGCTCTCCAAAGATCGGGGGTGATGAAGCAGCATCTTAAAAGCAGTATTTAGGCTGACAGATTTTTCTAGTTGAAGTATCTGCCTTTTGAGGGTGACTGGAAATGACAGGGGGGACTGTCAGAGCCAAGTAGCTTTTGAAAAATCAGAAATGTGCTTAAGATGCTAGTGAGTGGTTGTGAAGAGCAGGTTTGCCCACAGGCCAGGCCGTCTTCCCTTCCGGTGCCAGCGCTCTTCCCCCCGCCTGTCACCTGCTGCAAGCCTGGCCTCTTGCGCCAGGAACCTCGGGGAAGAGCGGGCTGTTGGCGAAAGTGGAGCTAGAAAGAGCCTTCGCGGAGAGTGTATTTTCCAAACCCAGGCACGAACCCATGGCGAGGTTAGGCAGGGCTGCAGACTTCAGGCAGGTGAAACCAAGCCTGTTTTCTTCCCATGGTAAGCTTAGTACACCACGTAGACGGATTCTTCCAGCGCCCACTAGCGTCACCAGTTCCACCGCCCTTTGCTGGGTGTAGTCAGCACCGAGGACTGGAGTTCACAGACTTATCAGGGGATAGGAAACCAGCTGGCACCTCCAAACTGCCTTAGTGATCCGGGCCCTTCCCTGCCAGGTGGGTGGGACATTGAGGGAGGATGGCCCTGCCTCTCCCGGCAGCCTCGTGGGGCATCGCCAGTTTGGTGACAGGAGTTGATGTCATTTGTTCAGTTCCACCCCTTCCCCCTTAGAAGGAGATCATGGTACAAAGCCCAGGAGAGGCCTTAAGGTGTGAAGGCCTCTCTGGGTAGAAGCCAGGGACTTGTCTCCCCCACCTCTGGGAAAGTCAGTAGATTGGAGTTTTACCTTCAGGGTCAAGGCAGTGGACTGATGGGGATAATGGAGGGTGGGTGGGTTTTCCTGAGAGACTTTGTATAATGCTGAATGTGTCCAGAGGGGTGAGTTTGCAGAACCTCATATTGATATATTAAAGAAATAATAAAATAAAAAAAGCACTTTAGGTTATTTTATCTTTAACCCAATTGCTGCAATTTCTTTTGTGTATATATATACATATATATACTTTCCACAAAGTTTTATTTTTTGCTCAGAAGAAAAAGTTAAATTGAGGTGTGAAAAGAAAAGCACTTACCTTGGTGCAATATGTGTAGCTTGACGGTCGTTGTCCCATGTGGCCCTGGCCTGGTCGCGTTTTTTTCCGCTCGCTCAGCCCTGTACTGTGAGGCTGTCTATAGGGAAACACTATTATGCACTCTCAGCAACTGCTCTATCTATGCAAGCCTTCCCTGTGTGCCCGAGGGCGCCCCCTCAGGCTCTCTGAAGAACTGCTGTGGGTCCTGTTTTCCTCTGCTGACTTGAGGCCCCGTTTTCATCACTTCTCGGTCCCTTGCATCTTGCCCCGCCTTCACCATTACAAAGTGATGCCTGAAAGGAAGGAGCAGGCTGTTCCTCGGTAGACACCTGGCCCCTTCTAGACTTTTATTATCTGTAATCACGTTTCGTTGTCTTCAGTCTTAGCGACTTCTCCAGAGTCACTGAAACCACTGATTTGTGGAACTGCAACAGTATTGCTAGCGTTTACATTTTCCAGTCAGAAATATGTTGGGGAGGTGGTGGAGGCAGTGGGAGAGCGGGCAGCACGAGCCATTTCCTTACTGCTCCCCTCACCACCCGCCTGTGTTGGCTCTCTAAGAAAAAAGGTCTCCAGCCTTCATTAAATCCAGTAAACAAAGCTCTTAATAATCTGCTTTATTGACTTCTTTTCCTTTCCCCATATTCCCCTCCGGTCCCCCCCGCCCCCCCCCCCCGCATTTTATCTTCAATTCTCGGGCTACTGTAGAATAAGGAAATTTTGAAATAACACTTCAGCCAAAGCAGAAGGCTTTCCACAGATCAATATGCAAATAGTTATGCTGTGACATAGATGGGTAATTGTCCATTCCCTACTATCGGGTGGCCGGGTGGGAGGCGCCGGAGCTGAATTTTGCATATTTCTGGTTGGTAGTCAGTTTAGCCTGTTTCCTCTTGCATATTTTGGGGGCACAGGGAGAGGGTCCCGTGTTTCCTTTCGCGCCCTTTGGGGAAGCTGATGATCACTGTTGGGGCATTTCTGTTACTCCTGTTCCAGAGGTTCTTCTCAGTCTGCACTGAAAAATGCAAATTAAACTGGATCTTATGTCAGTGTGTACATAGTCCAAGCTTTTTTTACTGGAAGCAAAGTTTAAAACCACACACTGCCCTTTTGGTGGTGTGCCTGCTGGGCCAAAAATTGGGTGATAATGTAGTGTCACTTTCTCAGCTCAATGCAGTTTCTACTCTTTTTCTTATGGGAGAATTTTTCATAAAACCTTTTTTCACCAAAACCCAGGGGTGTTTTTTGCAATATCCTTGTTATCCTCCTAGTGGTGCCAAGTCAGAGGCCTCCCTTCCCCTTCTCCCATGTCCTTATGCCTCCCCAGGGCGCCGTTGGATTCAACAGTCTGCATCCTCTGCTGTGTGCTGGAGAATGTGGTGGGGGTAGTGGGGAGGGAAGGTGGCCGTTCCCTCTCCCCGTGAACTACTACTAGTCCCTTTTGGGGAAGGTGGCTGGAAATAGGTTTTTGCTGAATTTCGGGCTCCCGTTTTCTGGCCAGGAAAGGCAAGACCCTCAGAGAGCCTTCTTTTTTGACACACACCAGTCATTGGCCGGAGGTCTTGGTGACAGTTTTTAAAATCTCAAATGGTTTTATTTGGATTATGTAAAAGCCTATCAAATTTATTTAAGGGTGAAACATGGGAACAACGGACTTCCACTGAGCGATATGAAAACGTTACAGGTTCAGTACTTCCAAAGGAAGAAACCTCCAAACCCAAAAAAAAAGAGTAAATATGAATTTGTATTTTTTGAAGAATGTGAAATAATGGTGTTTGCTTAATTGCTCATTTTGTATAAACTTAATATTGTACTTTAAAATATCTGCTAAGAAGTGAAAATTTAACTTTTTGGAATTGAAAAAGCAATATTAAATACTAATGAAATCCTAATTAAATGCTTATTTAAATCTGGTAGTATCTGTGGCTTTTCTTCCCGACGCTACCCATGGTTGATAATTTTCAACCACTTCCCCCCTCCCCAGCTGAGTCTTAGGGGACAGAAAGGAAAGGTCGGTCACCAGGAGAGTCTGCAGGTTTCCTTTTAATCAAGGCTCTGCTAAAGGTGGTTTGTGGGGCTAGGAGCCCCCAAAGCATGAAATGGACATGTAACACCACCTGGATCCCCCAAAGCAGGCCAGACCACTCTGGAGAGCACTGCTGGTCTGCCCAAATCCGGGTAATCAGACTGGGTAGTCGCTGGCTACATTTCAAAGCTCAGCACTGCCTTCAGCCAGGATGAAGTGGGAGTGAAACCCAGCTGCGAGCAGAGCTGCCACCCCAGGCTGAGAGCCAAGTACCAGCCACTGCCGGTGAAGACTGGCCCCTTTATTGAAGGGAGTTGTTCAGAGTCAAGCCACCAGCCCCGGGAGGGAGAGAAGTCAGGGTGCCCTTCAGGGATGGTCAGGGCTCCGCAGCTCCATCGCCAGCATCCTTTGGAAAGCCACCTCGGGCGGAGACAGCTGGCTGGGGAGGCGCTCCGGGTTTGGCTGAGACGTTCTGGTTGGAACAGAAAGGAAAAGTGAGACTGGCAGGAAAGGCCTTGGATTAGGCCCCGCAAGGATATGGCCACTTGGCACTCGGCTAGCACTTAACTTTTTCAAAGCCTCTCGCCCAGATGAAAGGAGGCTGGGGGTAAAGCGGCGGGGATACTCTTACTCCCTCCAGGAGAAGCTAGGGCTTAGCAAATCCAGCCACGGGGCAGTCCCCACCTCCCAGGCCCAGCCCGGGGTGGGCACTGACCCCGCCACCAGCCGGCTCCGGGCGCCGGCGGCCCAGCTGCCGCAGCATCTCCTCGCAGGCGGCGATGGTGTCCAGGAGCTGCCGCTGCCGCTGCTCCACCGCGTCCAGCAGCTGCTGGGCGCGCTCATCCCGGGGCGGCTGCGGGGGTGGCCTCCCGCCGAGCCCCAGCCCCGCCTTCCCACGGTCCACGCCGGCAGCCTCCCTGCCCGGGAGAGAGCGACAGACACACGGTCAGGGCCGGCGCTCGCGCAGTGTCCGAGCCCCTTCCCCCCGCCCCGACGGGCCCCCTCTCACCCCCGTGACCAGTCTGAGCCCGGGCCCCATTCCATCTCCGCCTGTGCGGCCCGACCACCGCCCCCCTTTCGGCCGCCCCCCTCCCCAGCGCTGCGCTAGGGCTCCGCAAGGCTGCGCCCCGCCCCGTCCCCACCGGTCTCCTTCAATCCTCCTGGGGGTCGCGGTCCCTTTAAGTTGCCCGGCGCGGAGGTGGGGCCGAGCTTCCCCGGCCGGAAGCTGACTAGGCGCGTCACTTCCTCCCGGAAGCGGGCCCGGGCGGATGTCTCCTGCGCGTCCGTGCAGGGGGCTGAGGGCCGCGGTGGCTGCCAGCGTGGGGTTGAGCGAGGGGCCGGCGGGCTCCGCCCGGAGGGGCCGCCTCCTGCGCCCGCCGAGCCCCGCTCCGGCGGCACCGGGGGCCCGGCTGTTGCGGCTCCCGGGAAGCGGGGCCGTGCGGGCCGCAAGCCCGGAGCGCGCCGGCTGGACCGAGGCGCTGCGGGCCGCCGTGGCCGAGCTGCGCGCCGGCGCCGTGGTGGCCGTCCCCACAGACACGCTGTACGGCCTGGCCTGCTCGGCGAGCTGCTCGGCGGCACTGGGAGCTGTGTATCGCCTCAAGGGCCGCAGCGAGGCCAAACCGCTGGCCGTCTGCCTGGGCCGCGTGGCCGACGTCTACAGGTGAGGCCGCCCCGACCCGGCCCCGCTGGGGGCGGCACCGCGGGAGGGGCTTCCGGTGACAGGCTTGGGAGACTGAGGCGCAGAGAGCGGGAGGGGCTTGTCCAGGCTCACCCAGGAATCCGGAACTGGAAATGTGTATCGAGCACTTAACGTCTTCCAGTCCCTGAACGAGATGCTGGGGCGCCGCGAGGAACGAGGCAGTCAAGGTCCTTATTCTCCTGGCGCTCTCGTGATAATGGCGTGGGCGGGGGAGACTCCCACGGTTCAAAAAAAAAAACAAAAACACGAAACAAACACGATAGCTTAAATTAGTAGGGGCGGGGGGTGCCTTGAAAAAAATGAAACATGGAGCGTGATAACGGTGCAGCTGCTGTGGCCTCAGAGACCAGAAGCATGTGGGCCCCAAGCTGGGCGTGTCCTTTGGAGCCCAGCCTCTCAAACTCTTGGGGAGATGAAGAGGGAAGACAGATGGATCTCATCGGTGTCTCGAGGGTCCCCTTTTCTAGATCTGTCTACAATCTGGAATAGGACCAGCAGCGACCCTTCATTCTTGGATGGATCTGTGTCCGCTCTGTTTCCCAGGTATTGCCATGTGAGAGTACCCAAGGGGCTGCTGAAAGACTTACTACCAGGACCAGTGACCCTGGTGTTGGAACGCTCTGAGGAGCTCAATAAGGACCTGAACCCCTTTACTCCTGTGAGTCAGATTTGCTCTTCTTGTGTCCCCACACTCCTGCCATCTGGTTTTCACTAGGATCCAGGCCAGACCCATTCCCCCCCTCCCCACCCCGGTCCACCCTTTCTGATGGCCCTCTCCCCTTGCTTTACAGCTTGTAGGCATCCGGATTCCTGACCATGCCTTCATACAGGATTTGGCTCAGGTGTTTGGGGGACCACTTGCTCTCACCAGTGCCAACCTCAGCTCCCAGGCCAGTTCTCTGAATGTGGAGGTAGGAGTTACCCAGTCCCTCCCCCCCCACCCCCCCCCGCCGAAACATCACCAGCCCAAACACAGAAGATTCCTCTGAACCTGTGGGGCTGCTGGTTCACCCACCAGCAGGTCAAAGAAAGGATTATCCTAATCATGTCTTAACTTGCATGGCTTTAGAACAAATGAGAACAGACAGAAATGTCACCGCACATTTTTCTTCCTATAGAACTTAAGTGTAAAACATAGCAAAGGAATGGGGTTTTCCGTGCCCAGACCTAAAGAGAGTGTGGTGAGGGGCCTTAGAGAGTGAGATCTCAGCATCCTTTCTTATTCTGGGACTGCAGGCTTTGCCTGGTCCCGTGGCTATGCCTGAGGCAATAGTGGTGGGGGTATTCGTGGCCTGTCAGCAAACAGTTGACCCAACCAACCAGTGCAGTAACTGGTAGTTAGGATCCTCCATCCCAAATGCCCAGGCCTGGCCACCACTGCAGCGTTTTTATGAGTGGTAGTGCTGGGGAGAATAGGTGATGCTCTAACCCAGCTAACCATGCAATCCACAGATTTTGGAGAGGGTCTCCTTCCCATGGCCCAAGGATTGTGTGCTGGTGACCTGCATGTGCAGAGTCCCCCTGTCTTCCTCTCCCTACACGTACCCTGCTGAGATCCAGGATCAGAGGGCCCTGGAGAAAGTAACTTGAATATGGTGACACAGAAATGTGGGTGGAAGTTCAGGGTAGGCCCCACAGCTTTGGACACCCACCTGGGTAGGACTCCAGTCATTGTACTTCCCCATCGCCAACAGAAGCACTGTGTGGAATCTCCTCTTGGCACAGACAGACTTTCTGTAAGTTGTAGGCGTTATTTGAAGCGCTAACCTAGGAGGGCTTCACACCTCATAGGGTGCTATGTCCTAGGCGCTGAGGCAGTGTCCTTGGCACAGCTGACCTTAACTGAATGAGATTCCTCCTGCTGCTTAGAGGAAGACGCCTCCTGTTTTAGAAGCGTATGGCCTTTGTCTTCTCATGAGCGCCGTGTGCGGCGTGACATCACAGCAGATGCCAGAGGCAGTGTCCGCGTTCTTCCTCTCCTTCTTCTCAGGAGTTCCAGGACCTCTGGCCTCAGCTGTCCCTGGTCATTGACGGGGGACCAATCGGGGATGGCCGGAGCTCTGAGTATCGCCTGGGCTCAACTGTAGTTGACTTATCTGTACCTGGAAAGTTCGGCATCATCCGCCCAGGCTGGTAAGTCTTCGCTGTGGCATGGGGCTAGAATCTGGGAGGTTGGAAGGTGCAAAAAAAAAGGCCTTGACAAAATAAAGGTGGTCACTCCTACATCCTGTCCTGAGGGGAATGAGCAGGTTTGAAGAAGTGGAGTGGAAGTGGGGACTCTGCTGGTGTTGGCTGGCTTTTTCAGATTTCAAAGGATTCATCAAGGGTTTATTGAAGAGCTGATCACCATGCCTTGGGTTCGGGGGTTTGGGGCAGTCAGGACTTTAACCGCCCTCCATTTCCTCCTCAGTGCCCTGGAGAGAACTACATCCATCCTCCAGCAGAAGTACGGGCTGCTCCCCTCGCACGGATCCTGCTCGTGAATCTCAGGAAGAGGGAGGGCCCGAGGACTGGTGCTGGACACTATGTGTCTGTCCGCTGGTGACTGGCAAGGCCTCATTCACAGAGGCCACGACGTCGCCAGTCTGATGCATTAAGGCAGTGCGTCCCTCTGAACCCTGTAGACCCAGGCCCCAGAAGCTGCTGGTTTGGTCTCACACTGTTGGGGGAGATCCTCTTTATGAACTGTAATTTCATAGATCAGCCGAAAGCTGACTAGACGTTTTATTTGAGAACATTCCTAGGATGGCCTTGTTCTAATAAGTTTCTTTTTAAAAGATACTTTTGAAAAACTGAAAGAACAGACTTGGGATCTAGTCAGAGCCTCCCCTCTGGCGAGTGGTGGCATTTAAGGTCCAAATAAGCTAGCGCACCAGCTGGTGCTGTCAGAAAGTCTCAGGTGACCAAAGGCATGTGTTTCTGCACCTGAAGCTGGAACCAGGTTAGGATGACAGTTGCTGAGCCGCAGGCCAAACACGGTCTCCTCTGAGCTGGTGAGGCTGGTGCTGTGCTGTGAGGCCTGGCACGGAGACATCGTTTTGGGCTGGTGGTGGGAAGTGAGCTCCGTTGGCAAGGGGTGGGAATGGGAAGGTCCGAGTTAAAGAATCCTAGAGAGCAAATGTCTACTATTTTTGTCAGCCGGTGGCTTTTTTCTTATTTATTCATAAAATAAGTTCTAAAGAATTACACCTATAACACCTTTTATTTGAACCCTGTGTCTACTTAGCAGCCTGTGTCTTTATTCATACAAATACCAAGTGTTAAACAGTTACTCTTGGGTATTTGAACCTTGTTTCTCATGAACAGAAAATGTTTTGTAAATAGTTTCTTTTTCTTCTTTTGAATTATTTCTGTAGGAGGGGGATTACTGGGTCAAAGTGTGTGAACATTTTTATGGCTCTTGATACAGATTCACCTTCAAAAGAACTGATCCAGCCACCTCACCGTCAGCAACGGATGAGGCTTCGCAGTTCCCGGCCCCTGGCCTTGCTGGACTTGTATTTTCCAAACTGTGTATGTGCGAAATGAGGCCTCAGTGTTTCTCCCTTCTGTGAACTGCTGCAGGTCACCATCCAACCCTTTGCACCTCTCCCAATCTGCCCCATCTCGGTGCCGTTCAGTATCCGTGACCTAACTGGAGCCGGGGGTCCTGTGGTAATCCATAGGCCCCACTTCCCCTCCCGCGCCTTGCACCCCACGCCACAACCTAGGACTCAGTCTTGAGCCCATAAAGTAATGCACATATTTCCAAGGAGCTCCTAAATCTCGCCAAGGTGTCATCCCAGGGCCTGCTTTGAGGGCCCCTGCAATTAGCACATTAGTTTATTTGTAAATAAGCACTGGGTTGTTAAGTGTCCACTCTAAAAATCTCGTTTAAACCACCCGTTTCTTAAGCAAACTCGCTCTTCATTGTGCTAACTGGCCAGCCCATCCCACATGTCCATTTGTCACAGAAATTTGAGGGAGGGCTCAGAATTCAGGAAGTCTTGAAGAGAGTGAAGAGAAGGCTTACTTGAGAATACCACATCATATTTAATTGGTACAAATCACAGCACTGAAAATGGCTCGACTGAGTGGGCCTCATTCAGTTTAGGCAGCCGAGGGAAGAGGCGATGTCCTAGTCCTCTCCCTGGAGCTAAATGGTCATCTGGGGAAATGGAGGCTCTGGGGCACAGAGGTATTTTCTTAAGAGGAAAAGGAACAACTCCCAGCGCTGGGTAAAACTGCAAAAAGAAAACTCTGCTCAGGCACTAGCTACAAGGCCACACCAAAGAAGGAAAGCTGGATCCTGTAAGCTGCTGGAAGAAAAGGAACCTTTCCAGGTCAAGTTCCTCCCCAGCGCCTAGCACACAGTAAAAGGTGCTCAGTTAGGGTGTGTTGAATGAATGAATGCTCAGGAGTATTTCCTGATCGTTGGGTTCAGGAGTCTACCGGGAAGGGCTTAAATCTAGAATTTCCCTTTTCAAATACGGTTCCCTAACACGGAGAAGACAGACGCTGTGGGAAGAAGGCTGAAGAGGAAGCAGGGCGTGTGCTAGCCCAGAGCCCTGACCGCTCCGAAGAGCAGTGACCTGGCGGCCTGCTGAGTTCCAAGCTAGGAGGGACTATTTTTTTAGTGTTAGGATAGGGAGCTGCCCTGGGCTAAATCCAGTCACCTGCCAGCCTCTGTGGTTCCGTCTCTGGAACCCTGCCTCGTTTCCTGTCAACTGCAGAGCACGCCAGCACCACCTGCCCGAGGAACAGGCTGTGTTCCACGTGGGCCCAGGCTTGATGGCCCCACCCAGAGGCGCCCCGCTGCCAAACCGGAGACCGGCGAGTGCCTACAACCTTAGCTGGGCCCCACACAGCGACACCCTCCAGTGAGGCCAGGACATGGGCACCTCATGGCCGTCGGCAGGCTCCTCACATCAGCCACTGCTCCTTCTCTTTGATGAAGTGCTCTGCCCAGCGGCGAGTCAGCTCCAGGTACAGGTTGGGCTGGTGAGGCAGGTAGTCCAAATACAGACGTGTTGGCGTCTTCTTGGGAATGGCCTTCTCGATCTGGGTGCCCTCGTGCCACTCGTTGAAAGAGGTGATGGAGACAATCTCGGGCCTCACGGTCAGGGCTGCCTGCAGGGCCGTCTCATAGTACTTGCCATTGACCCTGTTCCGAGTATTGTGGTTATTCCAGGGCCGGATGCTGGTGTCAATGTAGCCAGGCCCCACGCTGGGGATGAACATGAGGTTGTTGGCGTCACAAAAGTTCTTCACAGCTTTCCAGTTCTGATGGGAGGAGCCGAAGGAGAAACCATTGGAGGCAAAGTAGGTATACATGCCGTCAAACCCGGCGGCCAGGATGTCGTGGGTGTGGCCCTCCTCCACCAGCAGCGCTATGAAGACTGCATCATAGGGGGTGTTACGGATGGAGTGGGGCCCACTGGGTGTCAGGAGGTGAGCCCAGGCCTCAGGAGACGTCAGGTATGAGTCATAGATATAAAAGAGTGGGAGGCTCTTGCCCATGCTGTTCTTATAGCGGTAAAATGCACCATGGGAGCCATACCTGAGGAGCAAGAGGGAGAAGAACTTGACATGGCAACCTAAGAAGGGGCAGCCAGCACAGCTGTACGACAAGCTGTGGGTTAGGTCTTTCCTGAGACCCAGGATCCCGCCAGGCCCCACGGTGAGAGTCATCGTGCCTCTAAGCAAGAACCTAGTCCCCGCCCCCTGTCCATCCCCAGCCTCGGTGATCCTGTATTCAAGCTCTCCACCATGCCACCCCCATCTTTCATCTAGACTGCAGCAACAGCCACCTGACCGGTCTCTAGGCTCCTGCTTCTGGCTCCCTACAATCCACTCTCCTTAATCACATGTGATTGCTCTTTACCAAGATCTGCAAGGCCCCCCTCCAACTTGATCAGGCCCTGCCCACCTCCATCCCTGCTATGACCCCATCTCTATGCACCAGCTACACTGGCCTTTTATTCTGCCATCAAGCTTGTCCCATCATGGGCCTTTGGATCTGACGGCCCTCTGCCTGGAATTTTCTACCACTCCAGATCTCTGAAGAGCTGACTCTTCCTTCAGGTGTTAGCTCACATGTCATTTCCTCAGAGACACTTATTTGACCACTCTTTCTAAAGTACAGCACCCATCTGCAGGCATGCTCTCTAACACAATATCCTGCTTTATATTCTTTATTGTTGCTTTTTCAGAGTGGGAGTCACAATTGGTCTCTCGTGCGTTAACTCCTGTCTGCTTCACCACCTCAACACACTAGAACGTAAACTTTGCTAGTCCTACCCATTATGGTACAACTGGGGCTTAGGACAGTGCCTGGACACCTGAAGGCACTCAAACATTTTCTGAATGAGTGGATGATACATGCATGCGCTGTGCAAGCTCCTTTCACATATATTAACTCACATAACTCTCGCAAGACTCAAAGGTTAAGTAAGAGGCTTGCATCAGATCACAGATTGGAGGCTGCCAGATCAGAATTCAACCCCGTGTTGCTGACTCCAAGTCCAGTACAGTCTTCCTGTGAAGTAGCTGCTGAGGACACAGGCACTGTGCCCTTGTGTCTCATGACCTGCCCCTCTAAACCTTCAACCTCTACCCCCATTTTGATCCCCACCAGAATCCAGGCCCCACAGCAGCCTTACGTGTCAATGATGTACTTGATGTTGTCATGCAGAGTGACATCATCCCGGCCCTTGTAGGGTTGGATGTGGAAGGCCACCTGCCACAAACAGGAGATACTGGTCAGGTGAGGATTTGCCCTGGGGTCACACTCCCCTAACGCTTGGAGGAGAGGGCGCTACAACCATGGGCATAATAGAGATAAGAGCAGCCACTGCCCTCAGGGCCAAGGAAAGAGGAGCAAGAAATTTGCCCACCTCCCACAGCAGGGCCTCTGGGAATCATTTGGATGGGCTGTGGCTTGATGGCTAATAGTTTAAAGCTTGTGGGCCACTTCCATGTGGTTGGCACTAGCTGCCTGAAACCATGTGAAGAAGGATGCTGAATGAAGCTGAGTTGATGGGCAAAGGTGCTATGATCTGTTAAACATGTCAATGATGGGCTCAGGAACAGGAGTGGGGCTCCTCTCTCCTATTTCTCTTTCTTTGCCCCAGGACAGGGGAATGACTTCTTTGGTTCATTTGGAGAAATTGACTGGACATGCTTCGCTCAGCTCATTCATTCCTCTTGAAAGCGCACCTGCCCACCAGCCAAGAACACAGGTTATACTCTGCTCCTTGAGGCCTAGCACTGCCGCCTCCCACTAAGGATCTGAGGCTGGAGTTGAGTTTCTGGGCTCATGTGGGTCCTTGCCTGCCCTCTATCCAGAGTCAGAGTCTGCAACCTAACTTCTATCTGATATTTATTCAGTCTCCCATTTCTCCTATATTTAGTTTTCCCGATTTTTTTCATAATTCAAGAAAATAAAAACAGGTGCTATTTCTTAGAACTCCACCCCCTACACCACACTTGCTGTGTATTTGCCATACCTGGGCTAATGCCAAGAACTAACCCCGTGGGCAGAGGAGGGGAAATCTGAATGGGCCAAAGAGCACCTGACCTTTTCTTGGAGACTCACCTGGATGTTGTACTGATGGGCGGTGTCGAGAATGGCGGGCACCAGGTCATCTGAGGGTTCCCCGTTATCATCAGCCATGCCAGGTGGGTACCAGGACAGGACCAGGACGCCTGTGACACAACACAGAAGCTACTTCAGAGACACACAGTACCCACGCAACAGAGATGTGTTTTCTCACAAGCCATCTCCAACTGCAAAACGGTTTCTGAATGAAACCTTGAGCGAGGCCATGGCCAGGTTTACCTCCTGCAGATCAGATCCCAGAGCCTAGAGTCCCGGAGCTGTCCACGCCCGCGGTGCTGAAGCGCGGCGGCAACGGGAACCTTTGCGCACCAGGCAGAGAAGGAGCCTGACAAAAGCCTGAGTCGGACTCGGCTTTCGCTTGCAGCTTGCATTCGCAAGGAGTAGAACAAAGGGAAATGGGTGCACGATACCACACCCATCTGGAAGCCACAGTCCTATCTCTGGAGGAAAGGGGCACCTCTAAGTTCCCGCGGGGAGAAGAGCCCCAAGCCGAGGTCATCTTAGGCTTCCCAAGGGAAATAACATTTGTCTCGACAGTCTGCCTCTCTAGGCTGTAAGATCCCGAGGGATAGCCTCTGTGTTATTTATCTGTGAATGCCTCCCATCATTGTCTTTGGCATTCAGTTTCCGCCCATTCACTAGCCATCTCTAGATAAATTGAAATGTGTTGTAAAACCCAGCAGAATTCAGTGACAAAATCTGAAAGAAATGAGCCTCTTCACCCGAGCCTGCCTACAAAAGAGGCTTCTAGGGACCTCTTTTCAAGCAGAGTACTTGATGAAAAGCCCCTGGCCTCCCTACTGCAAACAGAGCAGGGTCCACATCATGTAACATGGGCAAACTTTCCTTTCTGCAGCCAGCAAAAACAGGAAGGGCTGCTGCCCTAGCCCTGTATCTCATGTGGAAGCAGAGGCCATCTCAGGCGTGGCTCCACTGAACCCCACTCCTGCAGGGCCAGGATACCCAGCCTCGCTTAAGAAGCCCAAGAGACAAGAAGACTCTCCCTCTCCTTGCCGGCCCTCCTTGGGACAGCTCGGAGCAAATGCCTTCTTCCACTGGCCCTCCCAGCAGCTCCGCCCTATGAAAAGGCCCTGTTGTGAGGGGTCAGAAGGCAGAGGTGGGGGGAGACCTAATACTAGAAGGAGGGGGCGGCGCCGCGTGGTAAGCTCTGAATGAAAGTACAAGGGAGGGAGTAAGAAGCCAGGCAGAAGGGTGAGTGGGACCAGAGGCTCGGTGACAGGATCAGCGGGAGTTGCGGCGTGGAAACGAGGAAGGGCGAGGCGGGGCGACAGGGCCGCCCTGGGATGAGGGGAACTCACCGATGGCAGCTTCCTTGAGCTGGGTCATGTGCTCCCGCAGCACGTCGGGGTCCCGAGAACTGTAGGGCCCCAACTCCGGGTAGAAGCTGGAGCCCAAGTCGTCGGGAGGACTATGGCGGCCGCGGGGGTAGCTGGCCGAGATCTTAGGGTCCCAATGCGGCACCATGACGTGGTCCCAGTGAATGTAGTGGCCCTCGCGCCGCGGGCTCCCGTACCACGAGTAGTAGAAGGCGTGCAGGTCCGAGTAGACGCGCAGACTCTGCCCGGGGGCGGGCTCGGCCTCCGCGGGGGCCGGGCCCGGGGGGCTGCCCGGGCCGGCAGTGCGGGGCGGCGGAGGCGGAGGCGGCGGCGCGGCGGGGGCGGCAGGGGCCCGGGCGGCGGGCGCGGGGGCTCCTTCCGGGCGTCGCTCAAAGGGCGCCAGCTCCAGGCCCGGGCCCAGCGCCGGCAGTCCGTCCGGAGCCTTGAGCGTGCGCAGACCCATGAGGGTGCCGAAGGCGAAGAGCAGCACCAGGAACAGCGCGATGCAGGCGCGGCGCCGCCGCCGGGCCATGGCGGCCCCTGCGCTCCCGGTGGCTCGCCCGGCTACCTCCGCGCGCGCCGAGCCATGGCTGCCCGCCCGGCTCCCGGGCGTCGCGCAGCCCGCGCGCGTCCCAGGGAGACGGCGACGCCGAGCGCGGAGCGCGGCGTGGGCGGCTCCCGGCCTCTCCCCCGCAGTGCGGGCGGGCCCGGCACACAGAGAATGCAGGCGGCGCAGACCAAGTTGTCAAGAGTCGAGGGGGGACTGGACGCGAGGGGAGGCGAAGAGTGGTGGAACTGCGAGTGCCCCGGGCCAAAGCAGCAGGGGCCTAGTCGGGTCCCCCTAGTGGCGGGGGAGAGGGGGGCGGAAGGATGCCCTCCTTCCGGAGCCCAGGAGAAGGTCGAGGCGGCGGCGCCTGAAGGCGTGGGAGCAGAGGGCTGGGTGGGGAAGAACGAGAATGTCGTGTCCGACGCTCTCGCCGAGGATCTCCTTCCCCAGGGATCCCTCTTTACTGACTTCACCGACCTCTCCCTGCTGATCTCAGTGACCTCCCTTCTTTGCCCTCGTACCCCCTCTCACAACCCGGGCAGCCTCTGAAACTTGGGGAGATGGGCGCCAGGAAAACCCCAGGAGTCAGACGCTACACACACTGGCTAGAGCGTGGAAGGACAAGGGAGACCGTGACTTGCACAAAGTCACACGGACCCGGCCTAAACCCAAGAGCTCTTGTCACTGGCCAGACCGCTGATCCCAGGCCTGTTGTCCAGGGCTGTTTGTCTTTGGACAAACTCCTAGGATCGGTGAAAACTAAATGAGATAGTCACCAAAAGGCACTTTAAACGGGGCCTCGCAAAATTAGCACTCAGTACACGTTCGCCATTCTTTCCGGACTCTGAGCGCCAAGGGGCAGGCCCTGGGTCTTATTTACCCTTCTGGACTCCAAAGGGGGGCTGTGGGAACAGGGTCTGACAATCGATTCCCAGGGCTGTTTGCTGAGTGAATACCAACCACCCTCTGGTGTGATATTCTATAGGCAATGATTTCTTCCCCGCTCAACACTGACTGAGTTCCTACTCTGCATTATTCATTAGTTTATTTATTCAGTTTTGTTTATTGTCTGCCTCCTTCACTGGTCTATGAGGACAGCAACCTTAATCTAGCCGCTGTGTCTGAAACAGGGCTTGGCATAATAGTAGACACCTGATTCTTATTTCTTAAGTAAAAAAATTGTAGGAAACCCAGGAAGAGGAGGAGCAGAGTTGGGGAATGTGGGTAGACCTGGAGCCCAGGAAAGCGAGTTTGAGAGAATTCATAGTAGTAAGTGTGAAATAAGTAGGAAGGATGCCTTCAGCTCCAAGCAGCAGACACCTGATTCACACTGGCTTATGCAATATGGAAATGTATCATCTCACAGTGCAGGAAATCCAATGGTAGGACAGAGTGAGTAGATTCCCTGGTTCAAACATCATTAGGAACCTGAGATGTTTCCACCTTGCTGCTCTGCTGTGCCCACCACTGACTTCAGACCCAAACCTACCAAAACTGACTCCCCTCGTATCACAAAATGACTGCTTGGGGGCAGCTGAGGCAGCATGCTCCCTTTCCCCAACCAACAGGCAACAGTAAGACTGATTTCTCTTTCCTAGAAGGCCTAAGCAAGCTTCTCCTTAAAGCTCATCAGTCTAGTCTGTTTTAGGCCTGCCTGTTCATCCCAAACAAATCGTTGCCAAAGGGAATGGAATTACCATGACTAGATTAGATTATATGTTTGCAGTGGATTGAAACTTGGGGAGAAGACCATGCTCTACCATGGAATTAGATAGCTCTGGAAAGGAGTAAGAATGGGAAGGGGAAAGAATAAGGATGGAACTTTCAGGAACACCAGCACTTTGGGGTTGGGCAGAGGAATGGGAGCATGTGAGGAAAGCTGAGAAAGCATCACAAAAGAGGAAGTAAGAGAAGTGGGAATGACTGGTAATGGTCTTAGAAAACTAGTGGCTGTTTTCTCCTGCTCTCTATCATTCTGCTATTTCCAGAAATGTCCTGCAGTGTCATGGTGGCCTCCACTGGCCATGTCTGGAGTCCCTAACACTACCACCCAGCCATAACGGTTTGATCTGGGGCTAGCAGCCTACCCATGAGGAACCAGTGATAGTATCCATTACCCACTGTTCCAATCATGAACACCCACCCAAGGGTCATCAATTATAACTCTTCTCTGGGATTTTTTTCTTGTTGGTGCTGAGGGTAAATTCAATCTTTCTCTCTAAAAAAGTAGTACCGTTAGTTGGGACACCCAGGTGGCTCAATCAGTTGAGCAAGCAGCATTGGCTCAGGTCATGATCTTGTGGCTTGTGGAATCATTTGTGGGAGTGAGTCCCACATCAGGCTCTGCACTGACAGCATAGAGCCTGCTTCACATCCTCTGTCTTTTCTCTCAAAAATAATACACATTAATGATAGATAGATAAAAGTGGTACCATTAGGGAAGAAACAGGGACAGCGAGGAACTTAGTATTGAATCTCTGATTTCAATTTTCCTTGAAGCCTGGTTTCAGTGTGAAACACTGGAATAATCTTTTAGTAGATTACCTTTTAATTCTAAGCGAGAGGAGTTTGTGGAGCACTTTCTTGGTTGCCTGTCAATCTCAAGCAAAGATTGATCAAGAGACTCCAGAGCAAGGAGGGCATTTGGGAGGGAATCCTAGGAAGGGAGAGTGAGGGATCAAGGAGAATGAGACAAAAAAGAAGAGCCAAACTAATGATACCTTGTGGAGGTTGCTGCCATTAATAATGGGGCTTTGATTCTGGATTCTAAGAAGTGTACAAATATCTCCCAGAATTAAAAGGTTGAAGCTAAAGCTATTATCTACTGGCCTCCATCCTCCACGGGTTGAGTGTTTTTCCTTAGGGCTGTTAACTTCCTCACCCTTCTGGCCTCCTTTGTGCCAGGTAGTCTCCCACAATATCAGAGAAGGTCCTGAGGCAGGCATAAAGACAGAGAGACACGTTGTATGTTTGAAGTGGGACACTGCCAGTTAGAGGTAGGTCTGGGCTTACCCAGAGCTGTCCACCCTAACTGGACTGTCCATAAAAAATTACTACAGACTTCGCAGCTTAAAACAGCACCAACACGTACTATCTTGCAGTTTCTGTAAGTCAAAAGTCCAGGCACGGTGTGGCTCTGCTGGTTTTCTGCTTAGTCTCACAAGACCAAAATCAAATGTTGGCAGGATTCTGCTCCTTTGTGGAGGCTTTAGGAATGGACCCACGTCCCGGATCATTGACAGAAGTCAGTTCTCTGTAATTGTAGAACTGAGGTTCCCATGTCCTTGCTGGCTGTCGGGTGGGGGTCTTTCTCACCTTCAAGAGGCTGCCTACATTTCTTCGTCTGTGGCTTCCTTCCTCCGTTTTCAAAGCCAGCGACATAAGACCCAGCCCCCACACATTGAATCTCTCTGACCTCCTTTTCTACTCTTAAGGGCTCATGTGATGCATTAGGCTCAGTTGGGGATAATTTCCCTATTTTAAGGCCAATTGATTAGTAACCTTAATCCCAGCTGCAAAGTTCCCTCACAGCCATAACTACATTAGTATTTGAAGGAATAGCCCAAGGTCAAGAAGCTCAGGGGCAGGGACAGAATCAGAATTCTTCCTACCTCAGAAACTGTTGCTGGAATCAAGGTGAGTCAAGGGGCTGTGACATATGGCTTCAAAGCTGTCTGCTAGGGGTGCCTGGGTGGCTTCACTGATTCCCGCTCAGGTCATGATGCCAGAGTCATGGGATGAATCTCACTCTCAGCAGAGAGCCTGCTTGGGATTCTTTCTCTCTCTCTCTCTCTCTCTCTCTCTCTCTCTCTCCCCTTCTTGTGCTCTCTCTCAAAATAAACAAGTAGACTTTTAAAAAAAACAGGCAAAGGGGCGCCTGGGTGGCTTAGTCGGTTAAGCATCCGACTTTCGCTTAGGTCATGATCTCGCGGTTCGTGAATTCGAGCCCCGCGTCGGGCTCTGTGCTGACTGCCAGCTCAGAGCCTGGAGCCTCTCTCTCTCTCTCTCCTAGAAATAAATAAAACATTAAAAAAATATATATATATCTCTTTAAAAAAAAACAGGCAAAGTTGTCTGCTACACTCATTCTATCAATTACTGTGTGTTTGTCTGTAAATAAGAATGGAGATAGCTAACTAAAGTTCTCAAACTTTAACGTCATATCTAGCTTTTGAGGATTTTGTTAAAATGCAGATCCCGATTCAGTGGGTCAGGAGTGAGCCCTGAGAGTCTGCATTTCTAATAAGATCTCAGGTGGTGCTGAATCTGGTGATCTCAGACCACATTTTAGTACTTAAAGTATAGTGAGCTTATTACCCCACATTTTGAGGAGTCTTTAGATAGGCTGGATTTAGAGATGGTTAATCCAGTGCTTCAAAGACATTGGGGCATCGTGTCATCTTGTCTGTGGTTTCTTTGGCCCTCTCCTCATGGTTGAAGAAGAATGGAAGCAATTTCACGTATCACTTTGCCACTGGACAATGTCCAGATGCAGGAGAGGAAATGGCTCTCTTATAACCCTTTTAAAGAGTAATATAATTTCTTCCAGAAGGTCTCAGCTGTCTTCCCAGCATTTCTCACTGGTCAGAATTGTGTGATATGCTCATGCCTAAGCCAATCCTTTGCCAAGGCCATTCAGAAAAGGGTAAACAAAATCAGAAAAAGGGGAGGAATTGAGGCTTGAGTAAACAACCAAGAATGTCTTCCACATCTACCTAGAGTATTCTCCCTTTCTACCTCACAGAACTGTTGAGAGATACCCATCTCCACTATGGCAGTAGATAACAGGTTTACTCTGTGGAAGGATGGAAATAGCCTCCAGATTCGGGAGTACCAGGCAACAGCAGAGGTGGAGATGAGGTTGCAAGGTTGCAATCCAGGGAAGTAATAAAAATATGCATAATAAGATCAGCCTCTTAAAAAGCTTTCTACCGAGCTCTTCTACCAAGTCTGAGTGACTGTTTTCTGGAGAAAAAGAAAGACCCTTAAGAAAAATGTTACACATACTGATGGGGCGCCTGGGTGGCTTAGTCGGTTAAGCGTC